TCTTCTTCTGCCTTTCTAGCCCCCAATGGAGCACAGGTCCCCAATCAACTCACGCCAAGTTGTTCTGTCCTTCGCTACTGCATGCAGCTGTCCATTTATCCTCCCCATCTTTTTAACTTCACTCTTTATCTCCCTTTTCCATGTGTTGGTCTTCCTTTATTTCTATGCCCTTGTGGGTTCCACTGCAACACAACGCCAGCGTCTTCTCTCCGCCTCTTGATCCACTGGAACTTGTAGACATGCTTATACAAAAATATACTTTCACTCTCTCAATATTCTATTAAAATTCACTCCTTATGTAAGTAAATATATATTTTCTCCTTATATTAAAAAATATACCATCATACTGACATTTTTCATCTCTGTCATCATCATCATGTGCCTGGCCGACAGGTGTGGGCAATTATACCTCTCCATAATGTGTCATCTGCAACCGTGTGTATCAGTTCACGTGTTGAGACCCTTTCATGCCACGACAAAAGGCTGGCAAGAATCTTCTTGCATTATCTTCCTCTTTCTCTCTTTCCACACATCCTTCTAGTGGTCACAACAACGTTTATATTAATGATTGTGCAATGTATCAACATCACGGCACAACCTATAAGTGCTCCGTTATACTTTCAACTCAAGCCTGGATCTGAAGAATCTCAGTGCAGTGCACGAGCTCCGTAGCACCGGCGAGGATCCTTAACTACTTTGGGTAGATTTTTAACTCCAAATTTAGTCTGGGCAATGCCTCTTTCAAAACACCTTGGTTGCTCTTTTTGGCTGTCAAGGGAATTTTAAGGATCCATCTCTATATAAACATATATTGTCATGCACATATTTTCTCTCTGTATGTGAAAATATGGTCGACCCAGCCTTGAGTGGGTTCCAGATGCAGTCCCAGGAAGTAAAGGTGGCCAGCGTGATGCTGACCACATCACCCATCTTGTGCCGATTGGTCTTTAAAATATAGGTCTAGCCCTATATGCCCTATACGCCTAAGGGCCTGGAAAAGGGTCCTTTACTTTACGTGAAAATATATGATCAAATATAGCAATATGAGATCAAATTTGGCAATATATGATTAAATATAGCAACATATGGTCAAATATAGCAATATATGATCAAATATAGCAACATATGATCAAATATAGCAATATATGATCAAATATAGCAATATATGATCAAATATAGCAATATATTTTCTTCGCACCAAAAAAAAAAATAATGCTATAAAATATACCCTGTCTCTCTACTGTATCAAATATATTGTGATGAAACTGCTCCAATACAGCACAGGGAGCCTGCATTAGTGATATGTAGTTCAGTCACAACTTACCAGTTTAAGACCAGCCAGCGACAACATAATATCTTCATCCACTTTCACATTCTGTCTGGACAAGTCTTGCTGTAGTCGAACTAGGGTATACAAGAATATACATTCAGGTCTAGATGAGGTTAATTCTTTTTGTCAAAGCATTGCACCATGTGCACTCAGCATATGTCTATGTCTATCAACGCAACACATTGTCTGTCCTTCTTCTTCTTCTTTAGTCAATATCTGCTTATGCCGCTAGGCGTCACAGTTTATCATACTATCAGCAGCCGAGCCAGGGCATGCTCAGTCACTTGATATGCAGTGATGTTTTGCAGTCTCAAGGTGTCAGTGACTCCTTCAATCCTTCTTCTTCTCGGTCTTCAACTGCCTCTTGATGTTTCGATTTTTCAGGTTGTACGCTCTTGCTGCTGGCATCGTTGGTTTTCATTCTCATTAGATGGCCAAACCATTTTATTTTTTGTTTCTCAATAAATCTGATGATGGGTGTTGTTCCAACAGTTCTTGTGATCGTGTCGTTTCTTACTCGATCTCTTCTGGTTTTTTTTACAGCCATTCTCAAACATCTTATCTAGCACATGGTTAGTTTTATTTTGTGTTCTTTTGTCAATTTCCAAGTCTGACTTTGGTAACTTAAGATCGGTATAAATTTGCATTTATAATTTGTATTTTATGTCTCCACTGGGATAGCATGGCTTTTGAAATTGGAGCAAGTTGGTACATGACATTGCTGGCTTGTTGGATGCTCATTTTCAATCTCTCTCTCTATTTTACCATTGTGTGTAAAGATGCTTCCCAAGTATTAAATTGTTGCACTTGTTTCAGACTTTGATCTTTGATCTTTATGTCGATGGTTTGTTGCTATCTACTTATTCTCATGACTTCTATTTTTTCAATATTAATCTTCATGTGAAGTTTGAGTCAACTGACATATAAATGGTTTATGTGGTCCTGCAGCTGTTTACTTTCACTGTGGAATATGCATTGATCGGCGTCAAAGAGCAATTCATTGAAATCCTCCTGTCTATCAACATCTGGTAGTATGTCTATTTTATTAATATTGTTCATAAATATTATAAAAAGTAAAGGTAAAAGAATACACCCTTGCTTTACTCCTGATGTTACTGGGAACCAGTCTGTGAGGCCAGCTCTTGTCCTGACGGCGCTTTCACTTTCTCTATAAATAGCTCTTACACAATCTAGCACTGTTTCATCTATACCATACATTGTGTGTTATAATTTTTTTTCTGGGTATGCAAAAGAAATCTGGCCAAATATTTTAAATGCAACATAGTCTATGCTGTGTCTTTGAAAGTCATAGGCTGGTGCCTTTTTAATTGTGATTATTGTGTTTCTACTATGAAACCATCTGGGACTAAAAGACTAAACAGAAAACAAAAGATATTTACTGCCTGCTTTAGCACTTCTAGCCCTGTAGAGTTGCCTGCCACCAAGCTCATTGGCTAGAGCACTGGTCTTGTAAACCAGAAGTTATGAGTTCGATCTTTACTAGGGGTTTGATTTTTTGAGCTTCTCTGTGGTAAAGTGGTCAAGCGGTTTGCCTCGCGCTCTGAACATTAAGGGTTTGTTTCAGGCTGTGTCATTCAGTTCATGAGTGCAATTTGTATGGAGATCCCTGGGGCTTATCGCTGGTTCTACGAAGTTCATGCTTTAGGTGACTCTCTCAGCAGACGACTAGCAGTCTTGCAAAGACAGACTGAGCCATATGGGATAAAATCCCAGCACAATGAAGTCAATCCTTTCAACTTTAACTGGTTAGGGTATGTTGGTTGTGGGTCTGAGAATTTCAGGCCGCATGGCTGGTCACTGTGCCAGTTAGGATTTTTATTTTGTCCCCATTAAAAAAATTGCCATCCCTTACCAGGAATCTAACGTAGTCTCCCCCATAAAAGTGCAACATTCTAACCATTCAGTTTATATGTCATACAAAAAGTATATGTGACTGTATGTGTGTGTATGCATGCATGTGTAGGTGTATATATATGGAATGTGTGTGTGCATATATGTCTATGTATATATGTATGCATGCGGGTGTATATAGGTATGTATGTATATGTATGTAAGTGCATGTATGTCTGTATATGAGTGTGTATATGTATGTATGAGAATGTAAGAGTATGTGTACATGTGTGTGTGTGTGTCTGTGTATGATTGTGTATACATGATGTGTGTATGCATTATTCTATAATGTATATTTTTTAAATTTTAAACAAAACATACATTATTGATAACAGGCAGTGATACTCTGAAAGATGAGTGCTTAGAAGGGCCGAATGTCAGACGGGCCTGTGTGCCCAATTTGTAGCCCTTTGAAAATATAGTTTGTCTGTTCGTTGGTTCATTCAGTGATGAACAGAAATAAGCATAAAACCCAGAGATTCTCCTTACGGAACTCTCAAACAGATCTTATATTTTTAAATTTATCCCTCTGAGGTTTTCAAGTAAGGCATAACAATGAAATATCTAGGTTACACAGTGATATCTTACAGGAGAAAGGAGATAGAAAAAAAAACCATCGTAACTATGGCTGTTGGCCATCATTATATTTTTAAATTTATCCCTCTGAGGTTTTCAAGTAAGGCATAACAATGAAATATCTAGGTTACACAGTGATATCTTACAGGAGAAAGGAGATAGACAAAAAAACCATCGTAACTATGGCTGTTGGCCATCATTAGTTTCCCCAGACGGCCCTTAATTTTGTTTAAATATTTTTTTTTAAATGTCACATCTTGCCAAAAAGCAAATATAAAATTTTGAAAAGTCATAAAATTCAGCAATTAAAATCTTTACAAATCATTAAATTTATACTTCTGACCACAAAATATTTGTATCCTTGTTCGAACTACTTGCCTCATTTTGTGTATCAGAGAAGTGGCAGATATATCCATTTAGTTATCATCCATCTGAGCGAGCAAAGTTTAACCCCACTAGGACCGCATAATGAGTGATTTACACCCGGTGACCTAAAGAGCCACTTTTCAGATGAGAATCCCTAGTACAAAATCTCAGTCTGGATGGCCAGACAACAGGGCAAATCCCATATACCCGTTCAACCTCTAAGGAAGTTATAACTGGGGGTAAACATAATGACTACACCAGCCCAATGTAACCTGCAGTCCTATATGGGTAAATCAGTCAACAGATTATCCTCACTGCACACGGAACCGATCACTCCTTTAGTACTCAGATCCCCTCAGTAAATTCTGCGACATGTAGTGACAGATGACATCAGTTCTGTTGTGGTTTCTTATTCTTTTCTTTGTTCTGCCTACATAGTGCTCTTGTCTGGCCACACCCTTTATAACATGCTATTCCTGCAGTCTGCTCATGGCTGCAGATCGACAGAGCCCACTTAGTTCCTGAAATAAACCAGCTTCTAGAGCATCCAGTATATCAATATCAACCTGGTCCATGGCTGATCAGCTTGCTCATTTCCTTGAACCCTTGCATACCCTGACACGAAAACAAAACTGATCCTTGTCAGTACTGACTGCCTCAGCGGATACGGTAAGGTTTGGTAAGTTGTACCCCACCAGGACATCACACAAGCGATAAACAAATGGTGATACAAAGTGCCACCATGCGGATGAGGATCACCCTTAGAGAGGTCCAAGAAACCCCATTCAGCCGTCAGGCCCTATTTAAGGCCCGGCTATATTTAGGGCCGGCGTCCATGGCTAAGGCGTTGCGAGTCCGACTCGTAATCCAACATACCGCGATTGAAACCCACTGCGGGCTGCGTGGATTTTTATCGTGGTATGGGACGTCGCAGGTAGATCCAGCCTCAAGTGGGTACCAGGATAGCTGTCCTGGGAAAGTAAAGATGGCCAGCGTAATGCTGACCACATTACCCACTGAGTGCCAATTGGTCTGTAAAAATATGGGACGCTCTGCCCATATACCCGATGCGCCTTAGGCGTAATAAGGGATCTTTACTTTTACTTTTACTATATTTAGGGCCCCGGCAAAAGCCACGGTGGGGCTTCAAAATAACTTAAAATTGCAACCCACAAGGGGATGATGATGTATAATATGAGCGGATAAGGAACCCATTTAGTTATAAGCAGTCATCAAACCGCAAGCCATTCCTATTCCTGTCTCTTATGTATAACATGATAACACACATGCAGCAGAGACTTTAAGATCAAAGGCTAATGAAATGGCTCGCACAAAATCAAACAGGACTTTTAAATTCTACAACAATTACACACAAAAATCATACTGATGTGCACATCCAGCTTGCTTGAACAGTATCGGCACATGGAGTTTTTGTTACTTAGCTCCCTTTGTAAACGTGAGACAGAATCCTGGAGTTCTCTTTCCTGAAAAAAAAAAAGGTTTTAAAAACAGAATCAACATAGCAGTGAAGTTGGTGGGCATACTGCTGTTTTCCTCTCCTTTGTTTCAAAACATAAACGATGACCAAAATTAGGTTTTAATAAACATAGTCATATAAGACATGTTCACCCAGAAAAAAACCTTGGTCTTGTGTATACAGTATTACCTCAGTATACATCCTAAATTCATTCCAGATCCTTGGACAGACTAAAGAGGAATTTTATCGAGCAAATTTTCATATAAGAAATAAAGGGAGAATGACTCATCCATAAAAACACTTGTAATTAGATTTACTGAAAAACAAAGGCTGAAATAGTTTGGCCATCTGGTCAGAATAAACCCAGCATCACCATTTACAAGAATGGAAACATCAAGATGCAGAGGAGGAAGGCCAAAAAGAAGATGGATAGATGGAGTTAATAGCTTATTGAAACCCAACAATATCACCATGCAGCAAGCTAATGAGCGTGCACTATCTCAGAAACTGATCATTAGCTGTGCCTGCAGTGTCTAACAGCATTAAGCAGACAGGCAATAGATAGATAGATTAATCTGTTCCAATGGAAAAATCCTATTGTTATTGGCATATCACGCGCTACTTTTAAACTTTTCAACAATATCTCCCCTCCCCTGACCCCCATCTCTCTCTCTCTCTCTCTCTCTTTCTCTCTCTCTCTCTCTCTCTCTCTCTCTCTCTCTCTCTCTCTCTCTCTCTCTCTCTCTCTCTCTCTCTCTCTCTCTCTCTCTCTCTCTCTCTCTCTCTCTCTCTCAATGAGAATATAAAATAGGAATACTATTTTGTTTATTGTTTTGTTTTATAGGTGTTTTTTTTTTAGGTTCCCATGAAAAAATCCTATTGTTATTGGCATATCATGGGCTACTTTTATACTTTTCAACAATATCTCCCCTCCCCGGACCTCTCTCTCTCTTTCTTTCTCTCTCTCTCTCTCTCTCTCTCCCTCCCTCTCTCTCTCTCTCTCTCTCTCTCTCTCTCTCTCTCTCTCTCTCTCTCTCTCTCTCTCTCTCTCTCTCTCTCTCCCTCTCTCTCTCTCTCTCTCTCTCTCTCTTCCTCTCTCTCTCTCTCTCTCTCTCTCTCTCTCTCTCTCTCTCTCTCTCTCTCTCTCTCTCTCTCTCTCTCTCTCTCTCTAAAATAGGAATACTATTTTGTCTATTGTTTTGTTTTATAGGTGTGTGTTTTTTTTAAAGCAATACCATTTTTGTCATCTTCTGCTGGTTTGAGGATTTGCCAGGTAAACTGTTGTAAGTTGAAGGACTGTCATTTGTCCCAACATCATCTAAGAGAAAAACAATATAATTATTAGCATACATTTACGTATGGGCCATGTCTGCTGTAGTCAGTAGAGGAAGAAGTATGGGCAAGACAGAAATAATGAATGCTCTGCTTTCCAGAGACGCTAAGACACAGGAGTCAGAGACGCTGAGACACAGGAGTCAGAGATGATGAGACACAGGAGTCAGAGATGCTGAGACACAGGAGTCAGAGACGCTGAGACACAGGAGTCAGAGACGCTGAGACACAGGAGTCAGAGATGCTAAGACACAGGAGTCAGAGACATTGAGTCACAGGAGTCAGAGACACTGAGACACAGGAGTCAGAGACATTGAGTCACAGGAGTCAAAGATGATGAGTCACAGGAGTCAGAGATGATGAGTCACAGGAGTCAGAGACAATGAGTCACAGGAGTCAGAGATGATGAGACACAGGAGTCAGAGATGATGAGACACAGGAGTCAGAGATGTTGAGTCGCAGGAGTCAGAGACAATGAGTCACAGGAGTCAGAGACAATGAGTCACAGGAGTCAGAGATGATGAGACACAGGATTCAGAGACGATGAGACACAGGAATCAGAGATGATGAGCGGCCTGTTGGAAATGAATCAAATGTATTAAGCAAGGTTTTAAATGAGAACAAGTAGGCAGAAACCAGCTGCGGGGAAGAGAAAGAAAATATGCCAGTCAACTCCTACTGGGTAGGGTGAGCATGGAAACACAGAGATAGCTGCTGCATCCGAGGACAGAGCATGGAGACACAGAGATAGCTGCTGCATCCGAGGACAGAGCATGGAGACACAGAGATAGCTGCTGCATCAGGGGACAGAGAATAGAGACACAGAGATAGCTGCTGTATCCAAGGACAGAGCATGGAGACACAGAGATAACTGCTGTATCCAAGGACAGAGCATGGAGACACAGAGATAGCTGCTGCATCAGGGGACAGAGCATGGAGACACAGAGATATCTGCTGCATCAGGGGACAGAGCATGGAGACACAGAGATAGCTGCTGCATCAGGGGACAGAGAATAGAGACACAGAGATAGCTGCTGTATCCAAGGACAGAGCATGGAGACACAGAGATATCTGCTGCATCAGGGGACAGAGCATGGAGACACAGAGATAGCTGCTGCATCAGGGGACAGAGAATAGAGACACAGAGATAGCTGCTGTATCCAAGGACAGAGCATGGAGACACAGAGATAACTGCTGTATCCAAGGACAGAGCATGGAGACACAGAGATAGCTGCTGCATCAGGGGACAGAGCATGGAGACACAGAGATATCTGCTGCATCAGGGGACAGAGCATGGAGACACAGAGATAGCTGCTGCATCAGGGGACAGAGCATGGAGACACAGAGATATCTGCTGCATCAGGGGACAGAGAATAGAGACACAGAGATAGCTGCTGTATCCAAGGACAGAGCATGGAGACACAGAGATATCTGCTGCATCAGGGGACAGAGCATGGAGACACAGAGATAGCTGCTGCATCAGGGGACAGAGAATAGAGACACAGAGATAGCTGCTGTATCCAAGGACAGAGCATGGAGACACAGAGATATCTGCTGCATCAGGGGACAGAGCATGGAGACACAGAGATAGCTGCTGCATCAGGGGACAGAGAATAGAGACACAGAGATAGCTGCTGTATCCAAGGACAGAGCATGGAGACACAGAGATAACTGCTGTATCCAAGGACAGAGCATGGAGACACAGAGATAGCTGCTGCATCAGGGGACAGAGCATGGAGACACAGAGATATCTGCTGCATCAGGGGACAGAGCATGGAGACACAGAGATAGCTGCTGCATCATGGGACAGAGAATAGAGACACAGAGATAGCTGCTGTATCCAAGGACAGAGCATGGAGACACAGAGATATCTGCTGCATCAGGGGACAGAGCATGGAGACAGAGATATCTGCTGCATCAGGGGACAGAGCATGGAGACACAGAGATAGCTGCTGCATCCGAGGACAGAGCATGGAGACACAGAGATAGCTGCTGCATCAGGGGACAGAGCATGGAGACACAGAGATATCTGCTGCATCAGGAGACAGAGCATGGAGACACAGAGATAGCTGCTGCATCAGGGGACAGAGCATGGAGACACAGAGATAGCTGCTGCATCAGGGGACAGAGCATGGAGACACAGAGATAGCTGCTGCATCCAAGGACAGAGCATGGAGACACAGAGATATCTGCTGCATCAGGGGACAGAGCATGGAGACACAGAGATAGCTGCTGCATCAGGGGACAGAGCATGGAGACACAGAGATATCTGCTGCATCAGGGGACAGAGCATGGAGACACAGAGATATCTGCTGCATCAGGGGACAGAGCATGGAGACACAGAGATAGCTGCTGCATCCAAGGACAGAGCATGGAGACACAGAGATAGCTGCTGCATCAGGGGACAGAGCATGGAGACACAGAGATAGCTGCTGCATCAGGGGACAGAGCATGGAGACACAGAGATAGCTGCTGCATCAGGGGACAGAGCATGGAGACACAGAGATAGCTGCTGCATCCAAGGACAGAGCATGGAGACACAGAGATAGCTGCTGCATCAGGGGACAGAGCATGGAGACACAGAGATATCTGCTGCATCAGGGGACAGAGCATGGAGACACAGAGATAGCTGCTGCATCAGGGGACAGAGCATGGAGACACAGAGATAGCTGCTGCATCCAAGGACAGAGCATGGAGACACAGAGATAGCTGCTGCATCAGGGGACAGAGCATGGAGACACAGAGATAGCTGCTGCATCCAAGGACAGAGCATGGAGACACAGAGATATCTGCTGCATCAGGGGACAGAGCATGGAGACACAGAGATAGCTGCTGCATCGGATGATGGAACACAAATGGGTCGGACCAATGTGCTAAGATGTTGATAAGGATAACAAGTAACTTATTTATGTATAAGAACAATCCTTATAGAAGACTTTAGTAAGGGGTCTCTGTGGTGAAGGAGTCCAGTCATTTGCCTCATGATATAAAGGTAGTGGGTTCGTTTCATGAGTGCAGTTTTTACAGAAATCTATGGTCGGTGGTGCTAAGGAGTTTGTGCTTTGTGCGATGCTCTTGGTAGACAGAGAGACCGAACCATACAGGATAAAACCCAGTGTAACGAAATTGATCATCTCGACTTTACTGTGAGGGCCTATGCTCCACTGTTATGTAGATAAATATTTTTTTTGTTAAGCCTGAGAGGTAAAGAACCAACAGTCTGCACACAAATAAGTCAGATCTGTAAAATGGATGTGCAGCAAATTAAAGTTCTGGAACAAGACCAAAGTCCAGACGTGAATGAACAATGTGTATTTACATATTCTCTCCCTGTTAAAACAAAATAGGCTGTTAAACATATATATATTTCAGGGGAGCTGAGTGGTCTCAAGGTATGTTGTCTGCTTTGAGTGCTGGAGGTCCCGGGTTTAAACCCCAGTGAAGGCTGGGATTTTTTCACGTGGACTTCTGGTAATTTCCCCAGGGTCTCTGGGTAGTAACATCAGACGCCCATGTGTATTGTTGCACACGAAAAAATCCCTTTGGCAGTTGAGAATTGAAAAGAGTAGCCTAATTGCAAAAATTTGGAGTTAAAAATCTAGCCAAAGTATTTCAGGATCCGCGGGTGCAACAGAGTTCGTGCACTGCGCTGAGATTCTTTGGACTCAGGCTTGAGTTAGAAGTAGAACAGAGCACTTATGGGTTACACCCGTTTGCCATGGTGTTGATCCTTCGAATTAACAAACAAACAAATATATATATTTCTATATATCAAAATATCCTGTCATAAACATTTTTTTCTATCCATATATAAAAACATGCTGTTACACATGTTAACTTTCTGCAGGAGTTTACAGCCGGGGAATGCTAAGAAAAGGAGAAGATAAACAGAATGTAGAAGAAGAAGAAGAAGCAGAAGGAGAGGAAGAAGAAGAAGAAGAAGAAGAAGGAGAGGAAGAAGAAGAAGAAGAAGAAGAAGAAGAAGGAGAGGAAGAAGAAGAAGAAGAAGAAGAAGAAGAAGAAAAAGAAGAAGAAGAAGAAGAAGAAGAAGAAGAGGAAGAAGAAGAAGAAGAAGAAGGAGAGGAAGAAGAAGAAGAAGAAGAAGAAGAAGAAGAAGAAGAAGAAGAAGAAGAAGAAGAAGAAGAAGAAGAAGAAGGAGAGGAAGAAGATGAGTTGAGGCTTTCATCTACAAATGGTCAATACCTGGAGTGAGCATGAACATGGCGGAATGATGGATCCCTGGGCTGGATTGGGCACTCCGGAGGTTCGAGTCCTCAAGCTGAGCAAGACTTGAAGCTAGCTGGTTGTGTCTGAACATGGATTCTTCAACGTGGGATAGGCTGACAGTGGATCCTGCTGGATTGTCGACAAAGTCTGTACAGAAAACACAGCACAGTGAAAGTACTGTCCCAAAGTCATGTACAGTAGCTGATGATCATGTCAAAATGATTAACTGATGATACAACACAGCACAGTGAAAGTAGTGTTCCAAAGTCATATACATTTAGCTGATGATCATGTCATAATGATTAACTGATGATATAACACAGCACAGTGAAAGTACTGTCCCAAAGTAATGTACAGTAGCTGATGATCATGTCATAATAATTAACTGATGGTACAACACAGCACAGTGAAAGTAGTGTTCCAAAGTAATGTACAGTAGGTAATGATCATGTCATAATAATTAAATGATGGTACAACACAGCACAGTGAAAGTACTGTTCCAAAGTAATGTACAGTAGCTGATGATTATGTCATAATGATTAACTGATGATACAACACAGCACAGTGAAAGTACTGTCCCAAAGTCATGTACATTTAGCTGATGATTATGTCATAATGATTAACTGATGATACAACACAGCACAGTGAAAGTACTGTCCCAAAGTCATATACATTTAGCTGATGATCATGTCATAATGATTAACTGATGATATAACACAGCACAGTGAAAGTACTGTCCCAAAGTCATGTACAGTAGCTGATGATCATGTCAAAATGATTAACTGATGATACAACACAGCACAGTGAAAGTAGTGTCCCAAAGTCATATACATTTAGCTGATGATCATGTCATAATGATTAACTGATGATATAATACAGCACAGTGAAAGTACTGTCCCAAAGTAATGTACAGTAGCTGATGATTATGTCATAATGATTAACTGATGATACAACACAGCACAGTGAAAGTACTGTTCCAAAGTAATGTACAGTAGCTGATGATTATGTCATAATGATTAACTGATGATACAACACAGCACAGTGAAAGTACTGTCCCAAAGTAATGTACAGTAGCTGATGATCATGTCATAATGATTAACTGATGATACAATATTCTGCAGAATTAAATGATAACAGCTCTTCTTCTTCTTTTTAGCATTCACTATCTGTAAACTTTATGGTTGTTCATCCATACCTGGACCCCGGTTCTAATCCAGAAGCTGAGCTTTGCATGCACATTTGTTTTAGTCTGGCCTTCTTGTATGCAGTCTGTTGGTTCCCTGCCTCTCAGGCAGATGCACTGCAACTTTGACAGAAACACTCCTAATTAGTCCCCTCCAATAAGATGCATGCTGGGGGGGGGGGGGGGGGGGGAACCCTGAGTCTATTCTTTGTTCTCAAAAATGGAGCCATGAGAAAGAATAACTATAAAGAGAACAGGACACACAGAGTGTGTAAAAAAAAAACTTCTTTTTCTTTTCCTCCGGCAGTGTGCACATGAAAAATTGTGAGGTGGCCTGTTCTGTTCAGATGATTCACAAAATCTCTTTTCATAGTTATAACCTGTGATTGTTTTCCAATCTGTTTCTCATTTTCTTTTAATGAGGGTTTTGACTTCTGAAAAAAAAAAAAGAAAAAAAAAAAAACTGTAGCTGGTAGATTTAGTGAAATATACAAATCACACAACTTTCCATTAAATACAAGTAGTTAAAAGGAAGTGTGGGAAAACAGTGCTGTGATTATCTGTGTGCTTACCTGGTGACACGTCAGTCTGAAGGTTCATGGGCACACTTGATGATTTGGGAACCGAAAGTGTTCGAGGACGACTGAATTTCCGGGAGAACGATGAGAATCCCCCGAGCACATTGTTCTGTTTCTTCTGATTCTGCCCATTTGGATACTGAGCTGGAGAATTTAAATAGAATTCACTTTTCTCTCCTGTTTTATTGTTATATCAATACATATTGTCATATTTTCTTTACTACATATTTCTGACTACAAGTAGTTTGACTATGAAGGTTTTGGCAATAACAAAAGCAATGACCTGGCTAGAGAGTCATTTATTTTTCAACTGAATAAATTACCATGCTTACAAAGATTGGGGCAGGATGGATTCCTAGACAATGGTTGGAGTCTGTGAGGAAATATCAGTCAAGAATCAAATATTAGTTTTGGGCCAGGACACTCAGGGTAAGAGGCAATAAACGACTGGATTGGCATGCAAGCTGGGCTATGCTAGGCACAGGAAAAGCATTGTACTGTGCCAACATTCTCCGCACATTTTTAACGTCATTTTCTAGTTCCCTTTTCCACGTATTTGAGGAAGAGGAGGAGGGGGGTCTGCATTTATTCATTTGACACCATGGATTCCAAAGAGTTTCTGTTTCCAGAGTCCTGTCTGTTCATCCACTTTATGGTCTTTAGTTTTGTTCCAGAACTTGAGTTTTGTGTACACATCTTTTTTACAGATCTGGTTTATTTTCACGCAGACTGTTAGTTCCTCGCCTCTCAGGCAGACGCACTCCAAATCAGTTGCCCTTTACAACATGCATTTTAGAAGGGCAGTGGGTCTATTCCCTCCCCCACCCCCTAAATGGGGCTTCGGAACCCAAATGGGGGAACACCATGTGACGACCTACATTTCCTGAAATCTTTGGCACTTCCATCATTGCTGATGTTGTCTGTGCTGCTGCCCATGCTGCTGCTGACACGGATACTGCCCTGGTGGGTGTAGTTGGCCGGCTGTGGGTACACCTGCAGAATCAAGAAGAAAACAATAACTCTTTAAGCTGGCAGATACAAGAAAGCAGCTGCTGAGGATGGGGATAGAGTGCTTATTGAAAGTTCCAAGTGCTTAACTCAGCTTAAGAAAGCAGTACATGGGAACATGTATTTAACTGGAACACATATTTAACTGGACCACGTATTTAACTGGAACACGTATTTAACTGGACCACGTATTTAACTGGAACACGTATTTAACTGGGAGTCACCGTGGCACTGGCGGCCAGACGCCTGCCTGCGGATCAGAAGGTTGTGGGTTCATGTCCTGACAGAGCTGGACTATTTTCTTTTAACAATAACCTTGACTCCCAGCCTTGAGTGGGTACCAGCTGCAGTCCTGGGAAGTAAAGGTGGCTGGCGTGATGCTGACCCCATGACCCACCAAGTGCCGATTGGTCTATAAAAATATAGGTCTAGCCCTATATTCCCGATTAAAGGAGTGGAAAAGGGACCTTTTTTTTCAACGTATTTAACTGGAACATGTATTTAACTGGAACATATATTTAACTGGAACACGTATTTGACTGGAACATGTATTTAACTCTTTTAGCATTAGAAGACAGAAATATCAGTTACAATTAATAAAACAACATTCAGTATTCCTGGAGACATAATAAAAAAAAAATACTGGGTAAATCTGTAAACATAAAATTAAAATACTTGGTAAATCTGTAGGAACTAAATTAAAGTACTTGGTAAAAATGTGGAAACAACATTAAAAACACTCAGCTAAACAAAACAAAATGTGGAAACAAAATTTTAAAACTTGGTAAATCTGTAGAAACAAAATTTTAAAACTTGATAAATCTGAAAAACAAAATTAAAATGATAAATCTGTGGAAACTAAAAGAACTCTTTGAGTCCCAAGAAACGCATCATGCACTAATCGGTTACTACACAGATGTCCAATCAGTGCGTGATGTGTTCCTGTTTTTGACTGACCATTGCCAGTAGAACAACGCAAACCGGCAGTTTTTAACAATACTTCCCATTCTTAGCGTTCAAAGTCGCACAAGGTGACCATATGGGATAGTCTAAAAAAGTGGTTGAAAGCACAATTTAGCATGTTTGTGAGCTTTACCAAGTCACTAAGTGTCTGTGTCTGAAAACAATATGGCCTCCATGCAGACTTCTCCATGCATGCCAACAAGATTGATGACTTCAGAAGCCTCATACTTAAATAAAAGATGTGTTTTTCAGATTTATCCCAGGCTAGAGAAAGAGAGTTACAAAGTAGACTTGTTTCAGTCATTTATAGTCAAACTGATGAAGGATAGCTCTGACTTATACCTCACGCAAAGCCTACAACGATAACAAAGTCGGCGGGTACAGAGAATAAATGTTTGTGAAAAAATCAATTTCGTCAGTGCCAGTTAGGTCTGGTGTAATTCCCTTATTATTTGGGAACATAGACTATAAAATTACGGATGAACTGAGTGCTATATGAAGTTCACTTTTTTTAAAAATACTTTTTTCGAAGGTCATTTTTCTATACAAAAAAAAAAAAAAAAAAGGTGCTCTTTTATGATATTCTAAAAGTTTCTCTTGAACGAGAACTAATGGGCAGACTAGGTTTATATTTTATTTATACAGTACTAAGCGGTTCACGTTCACTTGTGATTCATTTTGGATATATTTTATTGAGTTTTCCTTGAGTGCTATAGTGGTAAAAGGAAAAATTATAATTTATTTTTATTAATTTCTCTAAACATACCATCTGTTTATTTACTAATACATAACTACTAGCACAATTTATTTTTGTAGCAGTATTCTAATATTTAAAAAAATCCCTGGTCACTTTGATGTATAATATGTGTGTGTGTTGCTTGGTAGTTGAATTAACATGGTCTGTTTTAATGTGTAACACTTGTGACATTTCAAAATTACATTACCATCCCTTGGGCCTCCGACGCTAAACCCCCTGGGACTCAAAGAGTTAAAGCACTTGGGAAAAATATGGAAACAAATTTAAAATACTTGGTAAATCTATAGAAACAAGACTAAAACACTTTTTAAGTCTGCAGTAAAAAAAATATTAAAACACTTGGTAAACCTGAATGTTTAAGAAATTAAAACAAGTTATTTACATTTGGTTGACGTATCCACAAAGCTTTGGCCACAAAGTAATGCACGTCAGCAACCGGTGGAAACTTCATGAGGACAGTCAGGCAGACTGTATAATCACTGGTCAACACTGAAACAGAGATTATACCTGTGTAAATGGATTTATCTTGGTTTCTAAAGAATCACACTCTATGTACACTGATATTTTTATTTGTTCTCCACTGATCACACAAAGAGAACATTTACAGATAATTTGTTTCTTCTTCTTCTTTTTTGCATTCGGTTTTGTATGCTCAGATCAGACTATCAGGTGGGTTGCCTCTAAGAACTCGCATGCTAGCTGCAGGTCCTGCATGGTTCCCCATAGCTGGCTCTGCACACTTTGCTCTTGGGGCCAGGTGTCTTTTTGAAGTTGCAGGTAGAGTGGGCAGGTCTGCAGAATGTGCAGAGGTGTTTGTGGTCCTGTTTGACAGGCACACTGTGGGGACTGTACAATCTTTATTTTATGCATGTGGTAGTTGAGCCTGCAGTGTCCTGTTCGTAGACGGAAAATTGTTATATGTTGCTTTCTGTTGAGTCTGCTGATGGGATCTTGTGGATGTTTACTGTTAGTTTGTTCTCTCCACAATCTCTTGTATTTTCCTGTGATAAGTGTTCTGATTTTTAGTAATGACAATAAATGGGCGTGTAGTTTCTCCTTTGTTCCATTTTTTGCAAGTCTGTCTGCTAGCTCATTTCCTGGTATGCCGCAGAGAGCCGGGATCCACTGGAGAACAATTTGATTGTTTTCTATGAGTCTGTTTAGCTGACGGGTCAGTTGTTTGAAGATTAACAATTTAAAAAAGGTGGTTACACTAATAAACAGCATTAAAAGTCTATGGTTAAGCATTAACAAGGAAATCAAAGTTAAAACTGTGATAGCATGCATCTTTCCTGTAGCAACATACAGATGTGAGTCGTGGACTATCTCCAGTCTTTAAAGAAGAAAATATGGGCTTTTGAGCTGAAATGCTATAGAAAGATTTTCAGGATACCATGGACAAAGAAGAAAAGAAATACTGACATTATAAAAGATCTAAACATCAAGGAAGATTGACTAATAAATAGAGCATTGTCTCGGAAGCTGAAATATTTTGGCCATATTAGCAGATTTGAAAAAAATAAAAGCAGAAGGCATGGTACCGGGAAGGAGGGACAGGGGCCGACCAACATGAAGACGGGCACAAGATATACAAGACATAAGTGACTCCGTGGATATGAAAGTGCATGAGGCAGGAGAGCTGGCGAGAGACAGAATTTCTTTCAGGCAGGGCATGATGGGAGCGATGTTCTGCAGGACCTGCTAAAAGATGATGATGATGGTTACACACTTTTCACAGAAAATCACAAACCAACCACATTTGTTGGCTGTTTGTGGTTTCATGAGGCAATTTTCTGTTTAGTAGTTTAACATTGCTATTGTGTGGCCAATGCTCCTACTATTTTCACAATCAATGCAAAGGGGTCGACTGACAAATTGCCTGCAGCTGAATTAAACATGGTACCTCAGAACTGAACTAACCACCTGCAAAATGAGATGTTTAAGAAAGGCCATGAAAAATCTAGATGAGATCATGTGAGAAATGAACAAATTGCAATAATTTTTGGAACATCTAAAATAAAAATCATGGAAAAACAAAGACTGAAATGGTTTACATATGCATGAATGATTCAATGATCACCAATGTGGGGATAAACCAAAAGAAGATGGATTGAAGGAGTCACTGATGTAATTCACTCAGCAACTCATAAAGTTGGTCATGAAACAACCCCCTGAAAAGGACCATCTTGTGGTTGCAGCATGGGAGGGTGCTGAAAAGGACCGACAGGTTCCATATATACTGGTGGGTTAGGGTTAGGGTAAGGATGATATAAATACATACAAAAGTCTCACTGGATATTTGTCACTACTATTACAAATATTTCACTAGATTTACTTACAAATGTCCCGAAGATACAGAAGCATGGCCACAAAGATGTAGTCTACCAGGCCAAATGCAATGCCGTCACCAAAAATTGCATCCCACAACATTAGCAAGTCCTGCATGGGAAATTCTCGGCCAAAGAGCAGCCGCAACCACCGGCTAGTTATTCAATGCAATGTAACAAATGTGTTAACACTTTTACCTAATAGTAAATTAGGGACAGTAGATGAACAGAAATGCAAGTCAACAGACAAATGAACAAGAAAGTCAACAGGGATACAGGCAAACAAGCAAGTGACCACAGACACAGATAGGAAGATTGACACACAGGCACAGAATTTAAGAATAACAGAGTCAGATGGTAATAATATCAACAGACACACAAACACTACAAGGTAATTCACTCACACATGCAAGCCCTCATGCATGCATGCACGCATGTGCCCACATACATACAGACACACAAGGAAAAGCACAAAGTAAAAGACTACAAAGACAAAAAAATAAAAGAAACCTTTTCCACGCCTTCGGGTATACTGGGCATATAGGGTTAGGCCAGAGCTGTGCCGTGCTATGATACAGAGATGCTGCTGCATCAGGCAGCAACGTAAAATGTGTGACATAAGCAGCGAAATCAAATACAATTTGAACTTTTCATCTGACAGAGCGAAGCTATTAGGGGCGTTATTCAAAGACTTGCATCATACTGAGAAAATCTACAACACAGTAGATTTTATAGCACAATCAGCACTTAGTGTGTCATGTGGTAAACACCACGCTGGTCACTTTTACTTCCCAGTACTTTATTTGATACTCATTTAAGGCTGGGTTGACCTTGTAGCCAAGGTAATTTTTTAACAAAGTCCAGCTCCACCAGGATCCGAATCACCCTCGCATCCGTAGGTGAGCATCTAGCTGCTACACGACCGCAGCTCTCCTACAAAGACAGACATGTCCTAAAATGTGGAGCAATCATGTGTCAAATGGAAGATCCAATATATAACATATTTTATACTTGTGTAAGATAAAAGAGCAGCGTCCGTGGCTTAGGCATGGTGAGTCCGACTCGTAATTAAAACATACCGCAACTGAAACCCACTGCTGGCTGCATGGATTTTTATCATGGTATGGGGCGTTGCAGGTCGACCCAGCCTAAAATGAGTGCCAGGGTGGCTGTCCTGGGGAAGTAAAGATGGCTGGCATAATGCTGACCACATTACCCACCTAGTGCCGATTGGTCTGTAGAATATGTCTGATGCGCCTAAGAGGTGAAAAGGGATCTTTAGTTTTGAGAGTCGCAATGGCGTAGCAGCTAGATGCTCGCATGTGGATTGGAAGGTCATGGGTTCGCTCCCTGGCGGAGCTGGACTTTATTCAAAAATGACCTTGACTCCCAGGTCGACCTAGCCTTGAGTGGGTACCGGTTGCAGTCCCGGGAATTAAAGGTGGCGGGCGTGATGCTGACCACATCACCCACCTTGTGCCGATGGGTCTATAAAATATAGGTCTAGCCCTATATTCCCTATATGCCTAAAGGCGTGGAAAATGGTCGTTTTCTTTACTTTTTAAGATAAACGATGTCAAAGACTCAAATGTTATAAACTGTGAGACAACCTTGTGTAAGATAAAAGATGTCGCTCAAATGTTATAAAATGAGAGACAATCTTGAGTTAGATGAAATATCTCAGGCTCAGATGTTATTAACTAAGAGACAATCTTGAGTTAGATGAAAGGTCTCAGACTCAAATGTTATAAACTGAGGCACAACCTTGTGTAAGATGAAAGGTCTCAGACTCAAATGTTATAAACTGAGGCACAATCTTGTGTAAGATGAAAGACCTCAGACTCAAATGTTATAAACTGAGGCACAACCTTGTGTAAGATGAAAGGTCTCGAAGACTTACATGCCATGCATTGATGAGCTCCAGGCTTTTTGTTGACCCAGTCTGCAGTTTCAATGTTTAACTTTTCACAAGTGAATCTAACTATTTGAATGTTTATCTTTTCACAAGTGAATCTAATTATTTGAATGTTTATCTTTTCACAAGTGAATCTAACTATTTGAATGTTAATCTTTTCACAAGTGAATCTAATTATTTGAATGTTTAACTTTTCACAAGTGAATCTAATTCATCAGAGATATCACCCAATTTTTTTTACAAACTCTTAAATATATCTTAAACATATAATTTACAAGAAATTTCTTGAAATTTCAACAAATCTCATATTTTTTTTTTTTTTGGAAATGTGACTGACTGTTACGAACTGAAAAAAAAATCTTTTCAAACAAGAGAAAAAAAGAAAAAAGACAGATGAATGAATGAAATACTAAAAGAAGAAAACAAAAACTACGGTTGATAAACTAAGCAGAAGCTGGAGCCAGTGTATCTTAAACCTGTGTATATCATCAGTTCTCGTTATGCCTAGTGGCACATGAGGCTTCAGAGAGGACTTTCCATGCTTTCCTGTCCTGTGCAATCTTCATTGCAGTTTTCCATGTCAAAGATGCCGCACTCAGATCACTTTCCCTCGTTCGTCTCCATGTTGTTTTTGGGCGCCCCTGTTTTCTCTTTCCCTCTGGTGTCCATATAAACCTGTGTATACAATTCATTCAAATACAGTTATCTTGTTCACCCTTTGCCTTCTGTTTCCATCAAGCACTTGCCAGACATGACTAGATTTTGTAATTATCTTCTAACAAAGTGCCCCCCCCCTTCCCCTCCCCTCCCACCCCCTCCCCAAAAGTATGGATTCGTGCCCCCCTTCCCCTCCCCTCCCACCCCCTCCCCAAAAGTATGGATTCGTGCCCCCCTTCCCCTCCCCTCCCACCCCCTCCCCAAAAGTATGGATTCAGACTCCATATATCTTGAACAGAATCTACAGAAAGTTGATGACAGAACCAGGACTGCTGTTAGTGCTTGATGCATACCTCAAGGTTACTCTATCTTCTTCTATCATCTGTAAGGAAGGAACCAAATGTGATGGACTAACCTTAGTTGGGAGATAGAACATATCTCTAGACAAATACCACGGCTCCACTGTTGTCATCACCTGACAAAACATGGTGCTGAAAAGACAGTATGATGTCATGAATAACAGAAGACTGTGGTAATGAGAAGAAAAAAAGAGTATGATACTATGAACAACAGAAGACTACAGTGCTGAAAAAAATAGTATGATACCATGAACAATAGAAGACTACAGTGTTGAAAAAAAATATATGATACCATGAACAACAGAAGACTATGGTGGTGAAAAAAAGAGAGTATGATACTATGAACAATAGAAAAAAAATAGAAAATAAAAAAATAATATGATATGATAAACAGCAGAAGACTGAAAAAAAAAGAGTACGATACCATGAACAATAGAAGACTACAGTGCTGAAGAAAAAAAAAGTATAAACAAGAGAAGAAAAGAAGAAGAAGATGCAATGGGGGATATTTTCACCCAGTTTAGGATGGTTGGGGGGAAGGCCCAAAGCTGACCTAAAACACCGAGATAGTCCAGATACTTGGATTAAACGAGAATCTGGAGATAGGTGACTAACCACTGGTTATCACGGGGACCACGATGATGCGACCCAAGGTCGCCACGTGAAAAGTAAAGGACCACCACGTGTTGTCACGTGAAAAGAACCCGTGGTATAAGTCAGACTTGACTCTGGTCAAGTTTAGTTTGTGTCGACCTGTTGGAGTGAGAGGACATGCGACTGAAAGTGAGAATGTCTACGTGAGTGATTGTGAAGAAAGGAGACCCTGCCGACGAAGTGTGAAGCCGAGATCAACCATGCCAGTGTGTGAGATGGCCAGAACCTCAAAGTGACTCCATGGGAGCCAACTTTGGTCAGTGAATGCTTAAAGAAGACTGTTCGTTGAAGGCTGCGTGAGTTTGGGTACGAGAGCTGTTCACTAGGACACCGACAGGACATTCTGTTTTGTAAGTGTAAATACGTCAATAAATTCATGTCTCGTAAGCACACATCGGTGTCGGCTTGTGCCAGTTGTGTAACGTGGAGCGTGTGAGAAGATCATCCACCACACACGCATGAACACTGCCTAGACAACGAGAAGAACCACACACCACTTATTACAAAGAAGTAATCACTACTATACAGCAAGAGGGTAATGGAAAAGTACAACAGTTAATCATACTCATTGTGTTGTGGTTTATGGCTAGGCTGTGATATTTGTACCTTTCAATCAAACACATTCAATATCAGCAAACCCTTCATTAATCACCGTTTAGGACATGCTAATTAAGAAGCATTAGGAATTAATCAAGTAACAGAAAGTGTATTGATCAGAATTTACAGAAAGAAGTAGAAAGATAATAGAACACACTAGACAACATAAAAATCTAAAGCTATAGTTACCGTGCCGGGAAATGAGCCTGTCACCTCCAGACAGCGTCCCTTAGGTGGGTGCCTAGTTGACCATGTTCTTAGTGCACTTGAATCCATGGTGAGGCGCAGACGCCGTCTGGAGGTGACAGGTTCAATTCCTAGCATGATAACTATAGCTTTCGATTTTTATGTTGTCTAGTGTTTTCTTCTATCTTTCTACTTCTTTCTATGAGTGCCGATCAATACACTTTCTGCTACTGGATTAATTCATAATATTTAACGGCCTCAAAGGTTCCCCCTCTGTTTATTTATAATTAAGAAGCAGTGGGTCTGTTCATTTTTTCCCCCCGAAAATGTGGTCTCAGAACCAAACATGGAGTCTAGTATTCCCAAGATGTTAACATTCACTATGGAGCATGCTAACATTTACAAACACTCGACCAGATTCTTTTTTTTTGTGTGTGTGTTTTTTGTTCTACTGCTTACGCTGTAAAGCAGGGCTATTCAACTGGTGGGTCCGCAGGCCACATCTGGCCTGCAGAGAAAAAGCAAATGGCACGCGGAGGCCTAGCAAGTGGCACACAGATCATTGCCAGTTGTATCACATTAACAATCTTTTTATGCTTGGGGTCACGACTCTGGCCCGTGACAATAACCACTTCCAAAATTGTAGCTCTTTAGTCAACTTGGTTGAATAGCCCTGCTGTAAAGAGTGGCAGAGAGGAGTTAGATGTAGCTGATGTCATATCGCATTTCTGTAGTGTCCCTCTTATTCCCTCTGCCCATCTCTTCCTTGGTCGGCCTCTAGCCTTGTAGCCTGCTGTTCTCAGATAGTACACTCTAGCTGCTGGCTGATTTAGTTCTAGTCTAACCAGATGACCAAACCATTCGATTCTTTGATGTTCTATTAAATAATTTACTGGTTCTTTGCCTAGTATTGTTCTTAGTTCTTTGTTGGCGACTCTGTCTTGTTGTGTGTTTTTCTCTCACTACATTTCTTATACATCGCATCTCACATACAAAAACTCTGGACAGTACACAAAATATCCACTTCAGGACAAGTATATTAAACATCCCTTAACTTACGACTATACTTACTAAGCATCATGTTCTAGAAATGCTGGATCCAAAACTTCCTTCATCACATTCCTGAAACAAAAAATAAGCTACTGAAAATGGATATAGACTTTTTACAAGGTATACTGCATCCATTTTTCTCTAGGGATAAGGTTGAGTCAATCAGTCAGTTATGGTCTCCACTATGAAAGATTGGCTGCAAGGATCTCCAACATTCTCTGTCGGATCCTGGTTGTACACTATCTGAGACTGTTTTTCATTCACTATCTTCTTTTCTCTTATTTGTATTGCTTCTACCTCTTGAATTTCTTACCTTATACTTTTCCATATGAAAAGGTTTTTGATTTTTTTTTAAAGAATGTAATGTTTTTTTTTTGTTTTTTTTCAAAAGAGGTAAATGTAGTACACTATGAGGCAATGCAAGATGATAAGAGATATAATATCCAAGCTGACCTACAAGTACTTGAGTCCTCAAGCGGAAAGAGATAAATGGAGGTGGGTGAACGAATCTCAATGGCTTGGAATGCTGAAGAAGAAGTTACGTCTCTTAACGTGGTCTTAAACACTGTTTGCTGGTATAACAACTGAAATGTTAAATTCAACAGCTGGCATACAGTTGAAAGATTAGATGGAAAAAAATGGTTAAAAAAAAAATTAGCAGTCCTTCTCAAGATAGACGAAAGTCGTAAATTGATTAGGAAAGTTAGACGTAAACAGTTGTTGTTTTCTGTCAGGTCCTGTTCTTGTTTCCCGGCCCATCAACACACTACCTGACCTTTCATTCATACTTTCTCAGACTCTTCTACGTCGTAGGGGTGTCACTTTGTCTTCCTTCTAGCTACATCAGTGCCGATGACGCATGTTCTATACTTTACTATGACACAGTTTTGAACATGCAGAACTGGACCTAACCCAAAACCCCTCACCCACAGCCTCAGCCCAGGTCAGATGAGAGACTCTTCTCAAAGAAAGCAGTACAAGGTGACACCCCGCTGACCTAGATCAGACTCAGCCCAGGTCATATGAGAGACTTTTCTCAAAGAAAGCAGTACAAGGTGACACCCCGCTGACCTAGATCAGACTCAGCCCAGGTCATATGAGAGACTCTTCTCAAAGAAAGCAGTACAAGGTGACACCCCGCTGACCTAGATCAGACTCAGCCCAGGTCATATGAGAGACTTTTCTCAAAGAAAGCAGTACAAGGTGACACCCCGCTGACCTAGATCAGACTCAGCCCAGGTCAGATGAGAGACTTTTCTCAAAGAAAGCAGTACAAGGTGACACCCCGCTGACCTAGATCAGACTGAGAATGTGTGTACGTGGGCCGGGAAACGTTAACAGGGTCCTTTCCTCATTATTACATGCCATGCTGATAAGCAGAGGTGATTATGTTAGGTGCTTATGTTTTGCCAACACACGATCACCAGAATCACAGATCATGTTCTACCTCCTCCAGGTGGGCAAGCCTCCAGGTATTTATCACTCTGCCTTTCTGTTATCTTTTTCCATCAATCATGCCAGTCACCTCCAAGTTCTCAAATCCATTCATTCTCGCACGTCCAAAAATCACAGACTGTCTTCATCGGTGGTTCTCAACCTTTCTGATGCCGTGACCCTTAATACAGTTCCTCATGTTCTAGTGATACCCAACCAAAACATTATTTTCGTTGCTGCTTCATAACTTCAGTGAACATGTGTTTTTCGATGGTCTTAAGCAGCCCCTGTGACCGGGTCATTTGACCCTCCCCCTCTCCCCCCCCCCCCCAAGGGGTCATGACCCACAGGTTGCTAACCACTGGTCTACGTCTAATTTCTCTAATCAGTACAGTTTTCATCTGTCTTGGTGATGACTGCTTGGTTTCTAAGATTGAAGGTCAAAGTCAAGAGGATAGACTTCACAGTGCAGGATTGTATCTTCTGTTTCTATAATCACATGATATTCTTTGCGTTCTTCTTAAAAATCACATCTCCGCTGCCAGTAAATGTTGTTCTCTCTGCTTATCGTCCATGTCTCACATGCATATAACAAGACACGCACTATATGGCATTTGAACACTTTTTTGTTTTTGGTTCTGCAATGAAACTCATACTATGTATTTTTCATGAAATGTAATTCATATTATATGTTTCTGAGGTACACCATACATGACAGACAAATGTATACCTTCGCCAAGAAAAAATATACTTATCTAAATAACGGTAACCGTTCATGTGAAATATATAAATGTAACGTACTTTTATATGTGTGCGTGAGCACATGCAAACATGCATGCACACATAAATATAGGAGCACAGGCATGCACACACACATTAACTAATAAACAGAGTAAATTTCCTGGGAAGTAAAAGAGACTGAAATGGTACTCATTTTAGGCTAGGCTGACCTAGATACCAAATTTTTTTATTTATATCCTTCTTTATAAATAAGGTGGTCTTTACAAATATTTTGTTCACCATTCTTCTAATCTTCTTCTTCTGGGTTCAATATGTTTAAGGGGGTGCCACCTAAGAAAGGTTGATGACCACTAACTACACAAGATGGACTACTGAATTAACTGCATGCAAAAATCCACTTACTCCTCGAGGCATCTAGGTAGCAGAAAATGTATGCAATAAACATATTAATCACAGAATACTAATGGAACAACCAAAACGATTTACAAAAAAACAAAACAAACAATGCTTTCTAATTCTGTAATAATTTTCTGTCTGCTTCTGTGGATTAGGCGTTGCCAACACGCTTCATAATGCCAGGGGGCCTTCTGTAATAATTTTCTGTCTGCTTCTGTGGATTAGGCGTTGCCAATACGCTTCATAATGCCAGGGGGCCGGGTTCAATCCCTGCTGCAGACAGTTTGTCTTGCAATTGTTTCGACCATGGTACCGAGAGCCGACCGTCAAGAAAGCAATGGCAAACTACTGGATGTAAATTTGCCTAGGAAAACCACAACAGCCAGAAAGTGCTGGGGTTGGTTCTGCAATGTCCTGTAAAGGATATGCAACTATTTTTAAATAATTTTTCTACTCTTATTTATTAACCGATATCCATTCAAAACCGTTATTCTAATTTTTAATAAATAAATAGGGTAGTTAAATTATTTATCCATCACATCAACATCACCTTAATTCTTAGATCATAATGCTTTTTTATTATAAGCTTTCGTTAAGTTCAGTTTTGTTTGTTTGTTTGTCTAGTATATGTCTATGCCTATGTGAAGAAAAAAGACACAAACAGACTGTAATATCTTGCTGTATCTCATCAGGTGCTTACATTAAACACAATTAAAAGTAACTGGCTGTTTTACCAGGTAAAGCATACAGTGACACAGATGCCAGGTATTAAATTAGGCAATTTACTGTTTGTCTTCTTTGTTCAAATTTACAAGAGTTAAATATTGCTTTGATATTTGTGTGGGTGATTTTTTTCTTCAGTTAAGGACAAAAATTATCAGAAAAAGTTCCTTGTTAGTGATAGAAACTGTCAGAAACTGCTACCTATATATATATATATATATATTGACTTTAATTCTCAGGAACACAAAGGTATCCGTGATATGGAGGTTACAGCCATCAAATCTAGCCATTCTAGTGACAGAATTTATAAATCTCTTGAGATTCAGATAATTTTTTTCATGGACAGCAAATTGCCTAGGTGACTTAACTTTCAACAGTTTTATCTAATATCTTTGAGTTACACCCATGGCGTTCTCGGGTCAGTATTTATTCTCTGCAGCCATGTGTGTCATTCACTTCACTGGCTGGACAGCAATGTGACTACTATTAGGAATACACCACCTAAGTGATTTTATGTTTGACTGTAAGTTTATGTATTGTGCTGATGAGGGCTCTCTAGCTGCAGCATTCACTTGTCGTTTGTGTTAGTGATAATGTGGAGCTTACTGGTTTCTTTCTTTTATTTTTTTCATTTGCTTGACATCTTTTTACCTTTAAACAGAACATCTTCTTCTTCAGCAATCCAAACTCTTGAGGTTTATTGCTGCAGATATCACCCGCCTCCATTCATCTCTCTGGTTGGCCATCCTAAATCGAGGCTTAGAAATCTGTTTCGTGACGAGATAAAGTTTTACAAAGGTGGGGGCCAATACTTCAACCAGCAACCTGGAGGACCAGGGTGTCTCTCTTTGTCTGTTCTCTACCCTTTGACCTTTCCGGCTTAGAAGGCCCTGCTGGTAGCTACACTACCGCCAGCATAGCTCTCATGGTCATTGAGAAACACAAGCTCCCCCACCACGGTAAGGTAAACAGAACATTATATCTATCAAATTAGGTACAACTGTTCTGATTTAACAACTCTGGTTAGAGACTTACAGTTTGTTGTCCATCTCAGAAGCATGCAGAAAGGCCTGGTGGTCACAATGCAGGACAAAGATCAACGGAGCCAGTAGTTCATGCATCCCCTGCAGAATATTATTTGTAAACTGAGGATTTATTCTATTTGTTATTTATTTAAAATAGTGTAGAATGGTGAGTGAGAGGTGACCATGGAATTTTTAATATGTTTAAATCATCATTAATTATTGACATCATGAGGGCTAATATACTGCAATGGCTGGGACACGTAGAAAGGCAGATAACAGAAAGACAAAAAAAGCATACACAAAAGAAATGATTGGGAATACACCACAAGGCAGAAAAGAAGACAGTGGAGAGAATTTATGCAGATGTACAAATATCTGAAGTCACCGGCTGGAAAGATAAGACTAATCACAGAGATAAATGGTGGCAGGTGATATATGCAGCAATGAACCTCAAGTGCTAAAGATGAAAGAAGAAGAAGAAGAACTTAGAAAACTGAATCACTGATCAAATTGAAAATGAATTATTTATTACCTAAAACAAACAATTCTTCTTCTTCTTTTTCTTCTTCTTCTTTCGTTTGCTTGAAATAGATTACCTATATCTCCAATGTTGTCTCTAGTATGAACTTCCCTGTCTTTTATAATTCACTCAGCGACCCGTAAAGTTTGACTTGCACCGATGTTTCTCTTGGCCAAAAGTTTTGCCTTGATATGTTGTATTTGGGACAGTCTTGGAGTACGTGATGTGTTGTCTCAGGTGCCAATCCACTTGTGCGCATGGCTGATTCATGGATTTTAAATTTTGTGTACATGTGGCTGCAAAGTTGATTGAATTGACAAACACTTCAATAGTACTGGGTTAATAAAAGTTGGAGAAAAAAATAAAACAACAGCAAGTGTGAAAGTAAAACATGACAGTACCTGTCTATATGAAATGTCTGGATTTTCCTTGGCATAAACGAACAGAATGTCCACCATCAAGTTCCTCAGCTGATTGGACTGGAAAAACTCAATCTTTGGATGTCTGCCAGAGAACAGAATAAACATCATACAGTCACCACTGATGACTTAGATAGCTGGAATTTTAAAATGGTATGAACTCTCTCAGTACCTGCACAAGCCACCATAAACCAGTACCTGACAGGCCACAATAAACCAGTACCTGATAAGCCACTATAAACCAGTACCTGACAAGCCACCATAACACTTACTGCTGCTGATTCTTCTTCTTCAGCATGCTCAGCCCTTGAGGTTCGCTGCTGCAGATATCATTTGGCTCCATTCATCTCTGTTACTGGCCTCCTCTTTCCAGTTGGTGAGTCCAAGTGTTTGTAGTCTGTATGTATATTATCTCTTCACCATCTTCTAACATCCTACATCCAACATCCTAAAAGATTTTAATATATCAAGGAAGACCAGCTAGTAAACAGCATCCTATCTCGGAAACTGAGATATTTTTACACTATCAAGTAGGATGGCCAATTTGAAAAAAATAATAGCAGAAGGCATGGTACCAGAAAAGAGGAGCAGAGGCCGACCAGCATGAAGATGGGTACGGAATAAAAGTGACACCCTGGGTAGGAAAGTGCATGAGGCGGGAGAGCTGATGAGAGACCAGTTTTCTCCTCAGGCAACCTTGATGAGAGTGGTGTTCTTCAAAGGACCTGCTACGTGATGACGACCATCTTCTTAGTCAGCCTCATGGTCTACCAACATTTACATAAATGTTGTACACATTCTGAACTTCTTCTATCCCAGTGGTGGTCAACATGTTTAGGTTTACCGGCAACTTTTTGTCAGAAATCACCGGTAGTCTTTTCACAGAGTCCCGCCCGACAGAGGCAGTCAGATAAGAATACTGATGAGACACAGACGGCAATGGGCTATCTTGCAAGGCTTGCCAGTGGACAAGTAAATGGAGGCAGCTCCAGCAGTAAAGTGCAGAAGCCAGGATAGCTGGCTAAGGAATCAAGGAATCGACTTCAGGTGGGCTGTTATGGGAGTGATATTTTGTAAAGGACCTGATGCAAGATGATGGTGAAGCCTAGCCAATAAAGTTTTGCAGTCCCAAAGTACGACCAGGTTATATCCTTATGTGGCTCTGCTTAGAAGTGACACTTCAATACTGATCTTGCACAACCTGCTGGATTCTGAGCTCAGAAAGGGGAAAAGGTGTCTGCAACATGGTCCCCATGGAGATGGTACTTTAGTAGGGGATCAAGAGGAAAGTTTTTAAACCAGCCTCATTTTGACATTTGCAGGTTATTTTTGATGTTCAGTACTTTGTTATGGGGTCAGCAGGAGAGTTTCTAAACCAGCCTCCCTCTGACAGATGCGAGTTATTGTTTAGACTCAACCTGAATGTCAGTGCATCAGACATAGACTGAATGACAGTGCATCAGACACAGACTGAATGTCAGTGCATCAGACATGGACTGAATGTCAGTGCATCAAACACAGACTGAATGTCAGTGCATCAGACAGAGACTGAATGTCAGTGCATCAGACACAGACTGAATGTCAGTGCATCAGACACAGACTGAATGTCAGTGTGTTAGAAACAGACTGAATGTCAGTGTGTTAGACACAGACTGAATATTAGTGCATCAGACATAGACCAAATGTCAGTGTATCAGACATAGAACAAATGTCAGTGCATCAGACATAGACCAAATGTCAGTGCATCAGACATAGACCAAATGTCAGTGCATCAGACATAGACCAAATGTCAGTGCATCAGACATAGACCAAATGTCAGTGCATCAGACATAGACCAAATGTCAGTGCATCAGACATAGACCAAATGTCAGTGCATCAGATATAGACACATGTCAGTGCATCAGACATAGACCAAATGTCAGTGCATCAGACATAGACCAAATGTTAGTGCATCAGATATAGACCAAATGTCAGTGCATCAGACATAGAAGTTAAATCTCATATCTTTCAAACACCAAAATAATCTCTGGTCCAGACAGTTAATATCTGTAACCCTCGTTTTCCTCGTGGGGGTTTCAGGGATCCATTCTGGTGGGGTTGGGGGGGGGGGGGGGGGGGAGGGAGGGATAGACCCACTGTCCCATAATAAGTATGTCACAAAAGGTGACTAATTAAGTCTGCTGAAAGATAAGTTGAGCCAAAATATAGATATCACAGCCTAGCTGTAAATCACAACACAATGTGTCAACTGCCGTTTTAGGAGAAGAAAAGAAGAAGAAGAAGTAATACTAACAGACAACAGTGAGTGTTGGAAAAGGACAACTGGTATCACACATAAACTTGAGATTTTCAAAATAAACATCTAACATGTAAATATTTCAGCCAAACAAGACAAACAAGTAGTGTTAACAGTAGCAGTACATTTAATAAGAGCAGCAGTAGCGCAGCAATGGTCGTGGTGACAGCAATCGCTGCAAAGGTCAATAAAAAATTTAAATAATAAATTTTCAAAATTTCATTTGTGGAAGCATGCATTATAAAACAAACACTGTAGAGCTAATCCTCATGCAGTAGTCTTCCTTTAAATAAACATTAAAAAAAAATGAAAGATGTCATCGACAAAAATGTTAACAAAAGAAACAAGCAATACGATGTAAAGAACTGAACAAGATTATTTTTTTAACCACCAAAAAAAAAAAAAAAATTACTGAAACAAGAAGGACATCATGCGGTATTTGTGTGAGAAAGTGAAGGATCTGAACTACTTTTGTCTTTGGATAAGCTTAGATAGTGAGCTACGGGTTACTACCCGTGTGCCATGATGTTGATCCATTGTTCAAATTTCAAACTTTGAGTTGCAAAACTGCTCATAATCTTTAATCCACAGATGCCAGATGAGTTTCACAGATTTAATAACATGAATTTTTGCCTTACGGATTAGCATCAAGAGGTGAGTTTTTCAAATGTAATAATGTAACTTTTTTTTTGCTTTCAGACTTGCTTGTCTGAGTTCACACTATGTAATATAATAATTGTGTGTGCCTTTTATATGGTTTTGAAGATGAAAGCTTATCCAATGTAATAACATAATTTTTTTTTTTCAATTTCAGATTGGCTTCGTAGTAAAGTGTTGCAAGACAAGTCAGATGTTATCAAGACCTTTGGGAGCGAGTCAACATTGATAGGGCACAAACAGATCATCCCAGCCTGACGAGAATAGTGGGAATGTGGCCAATGAACACGCAGGGAAAAGGACACACAATCAGATTGTCAGAGGTAATGATGAAATTGAAACTTTGCACTAGGTGCTGGTATGAAGCACCAAAGTGAATCTTATCAGAACTATTTTTTGGCCAACACTATGCTATCAGTGCCAAACATGGACACTTACATCCTCCAATGAACTTAAAATTGTGACATCAGAGATGAAATGCCTTAGAAGAGCTGCAGGAGTTTCAAGGAAAGACAGAATATGAAATCATAAAATCAGACGAATGTTAGGAATAAAGCCAGTCTTATAGGTCTTCAAAGAACAAGAAATGAAGTGGATTGGACACCTAACAAGAATGTCCTGGTACTATCTGCCACAGCGAGTCACACTAAAACGTTACAAGGGGTATAAAGCAAGTGGAAGACCTCAGAAAATATGGAGTAATGGCATTAAGAACAGCCTTACAGAAATGAACATAAGTCTTAATAGTGCTCTTGACAGAGCTCATCAACGAATGTTACATCTCCCCCCGACACATCGATGAGGTACAAGATGGAAGAGAATAAGATGAAGAAGAAGCTGATATGAAGCAGTCCTGATCGAGATGGACGAAAGCTGTAAACTAAAAACAATTAGACGCAGACAGTCAATATTCTTTGGACATATTACGAGATGAAATGGACTTCAGAACTTGGCAACAACTGGCAAATTTGATGGAAAGAGATGTTTATTGTTTATGTTTATGTTTATTCATGGGATCAACATCATGGCACACTGGTGCAACCCATAAGTGCTCCGTTCTACTTCTAACTCAAGCCTGGGTATCTTTCCCTAAAGAATCTTAGCGCAGTGCATGAACTCTGTTGCACCGGTGAGGATCCTGAAATACTTTTGGCAGATTTTTAACTCCAAAATTTTGCCCGGGCAGCGCCGTTAGGCTATTCTTTTCAATTTCCAACTGCCAAGGGATATTTTACGTGTGCAAGAATACACACGGGTGTCCGATCTTACTACCTAGAGACCAGGGGACATTACTAGAAGTTCACATCCTAGCCTTCACCGGGGCTTAAACCAGGACCTCCAGCACTTGAGGTGGACACCATACCTCGAGACCACTCAGCCCCCCTTGGAAAGAGAGCAAGAGGAAAGCAAAGAGATAAATACCTGGATGACCTGGCTAGATGAGCAGGAAAAGATAAAAACAGTGAACTGATCCATGATTCTGGTGATCATGTGAGATGGTGAAACATGACAACCTACACATATCCGCATGACACATGATGATGATGATGATGATGATGATGATGAAGATGATGAGTGGCTGGTGAAGACAGCATCAGAGGGCTTATGGGAATAATCCTGAGTGCTATGATGTCAGTTCTTAACTCAACTCAAATAACAGTTATCTAAATGTGACAGAAAACTTAAGTTTTCTGAAGTTACATAGCAAACGAATTTAATGCAACTAAATGAAAATAACCAAAATGTCAAGATTTCATGTTAACAGCAAATTTAAGTATCAAAGCTTTCAAATTTGATGTCTTCAGTAGATTTAAAATAAATAGCAATACCAGCTGAAATCATTCAGCTGCCATTTCAAAAAGTATACAAAATTTGAGAATGTGCTAACATTTGTAGGGCCACATGGCTGCTGCCTACACTATTGATGCTATTTTTGCCCCAACAGAAAAAAAAATTGATTCAATCACTTTTATCATCATTAATCAGCACACCCTTTCCATAACATCGCTCTCGTCATAGTTCGCTAAAAGTTTCTTTCTCCAGCCCTATGTGCTTTAATAGCCAATGCATCTTCAGTGTCTTGTATCTATATTTGCTGAAGTCTGCCTAATTGTCCGGAAACTGTACCCTTCATGGCCCCTCTCTCCAGGACGCCATCACACTACCTCTACATCCCTGTATGGGTTCTAGGGCCCTATTGTAGAGAAAACAAGAACGGACCCACCTACCTACCCAATTGGGAAAAGCATGTCACCTGAGAGGAAAGAAGTCGACGGCATACAAATAAGTGGTAAAACGGAGCATACCCAACACTCAGGTTCGGAACAGAACTGCAGCAGGTATCTCTTATGTCATGTGCCCATCATTGCGCTGGTAGGCTGCTGCCCCTCCTAACATTTTTTGATAAAATGAGTTAATATAAGACTGTCTCATCCTAGTGTGGGTTCCGGAACCACAGTGTGGGGAAAACCAGAACAGACCCACTGCCTCCCCTAAAGCATGTTGTAAAAGTCAACTAATCGGCAGCTTCCTTCTAAGTCATGGAAAGATATAAACCGAACGAGAAGTATATCCTTCGAAGTCAGAGTGCATCTGCCTGAGAGGCAAGGAACCATCAGTCCGCATACAAATGAGTCAGATCTGTAAAACAGATGTGAGCACACTACTCAGGTTCTGGAACAAGACTAAAGTTTGAAGGTGGTGAAACAATTGGAGTTTACAACCTGTGTATGTGAAGAAGAAGAGGAAGAAGGTTGTCTGTAATAGAACACAGCCCGAAAGATTTGTACTGTCTTTAATATATATACTGCCTCTAAGATATATATATACTGTCACTGAGATATATACTGTCACTGAGATATATACTGCCTCTAAGATATATATATACTGTCACTGAGCTACCAAATGAACACATGGTGAGCTGTATGCTACCAAAGGAGCTTGTGTGTGTGTGGAAACAGCAACAATTAATCAAAGTGTGATTCAGTCACATCTGAATAATTACAATAAACCAATCAAGACTTCAAACAAAAAAACCATCAAATTATTATACACAAATATATACACGTGCGTACACACGCGCACGCACGCACACACACACACACACACACACATATATATAATTATTAATAATCAAACCTGACACTGAATTTTTTATCCAAAGCATGACAATAATAAATATGAAGCTAGATTAAAATAAATAAAATATTTCCGTCCCTGAAGAGCAACACCAGAAATATTTCCCACTAACACAACTGTAAAAAAAACAATACCAACGACATCACCAATAAACAACACTGCCAGAAATAACAAAGAAACTCCACAGAGTACCAACAAGGCAACAATGATCACAATACTGACCCCGGATCCTTGGTGTATCTGCTAAATGTCCTGTATCAGAAACAGGAAAGCAACAGCAACTTAACCTTTATCCCAGCGATTTGTTATTTTAACCTGCTCCGTCACAGCTGTTACTTTAGGGGTCTCCATGATGAAGTTAGCAAAACACAACTACAGCAGTAACCTAAATATTGCCCAAGGGATTTGTTATATTAACCTGCTCTGTCACAGTTGTTACTTTAGGTGGTGGTTTATGTGGCAATGTCTATCAAAAACAAGAAGATTAATGCTTTCCCAACCAATTCTTAGTTTAATCTGTTTTGTCACAGTTGTTCCTTTAGGGTGGTTTCTGTGGCAACATCTAACAAAAACAGGACTACAGAGGTAACTTAATCCTTATCCCAGTGGTTTGTTACTTTGCTCTGTCAAAGTTGTTACTTTACAGTCACATTTATAGCAAAGTTTATCAAAAACAGGAAAACATCTGTAATACAAACAGTTGCTTCTGCCATGTGTTTTGAATGTCGTGGAACTACTAATGTGGATTTAGGGCCCCAACTGAGGGTGGGGGAGGGTGGGGGAGGGTGGGGGACGGGGACGGACTCACTGTCACCATAAAAAGCAAGCGGCAAAAGGTGACCAATCAGGGGTTTGCTGAAGTCTCATGTGTGTGGACTGAAAGGTGCAGATATTGCAACCTAGATGTGAACCAGAACACAATGCCCTAACTTCTGTTTTAAGAAGCAGAAGGAGGAGGGGAGGAGGAGGAAGAGGGGGAGGGCAAGAAGGAGGGGAGGGGGAGGAGGAGGAGAAGGAGAAGAAGAAGCAATAGTAGCAGAATAAGTTGAGGAAGAGAGGAAGGAAGAAAAGGAGGAGGAGGTCATGGGTTATGTTTTTAAACTACATTTTTTAGTTCAGGATGGAACTTTTTAAGGGATCCCTGGAGCTCACTGCTGGGACTTTGGAGTTTTGAGTTTTGTGGGCTACCCTCTCAGCAAGTGGCCAACACCTCTGCTTTTGAGGGTCATCATGGCAAAGTGGTTAACTCATTTATCTTACCCTCTGAAGGTCCTGGATTTGTTTAACAGACAGGTTGGTCAGTCCCCTAGTACAGCTTTTACTTAGATCCATTGGGACTGTTGCTGAAGATACAGAGTTTATGCTTTATGTGAGCTTCTAGGAAGGTGACTAGCCATATTGTGGAGAGAAACCAAGCATTATGAGACAGCAACTAGTGACAGAAGTTGGTCTCTCTGCTTTAATTTTAACACTGGACCAAGCCAGGCTAGATCAAACTCAGTACAACGAAGTGCCGTCATTGTTGTGTGCAATATATGGGAAGGGAAGTTCATTATTGAACGTAAAACTTGGTGCGGTGCAGCACACATTGAACGGAATGTGAAGGGAGAGAGAGGGTGAGTAACGGTGGACTCTACGACGCTGTGTAGGAAGCCTGTTCTAATCTGGATGGTTCCAGGCTGGTCCTGCATAACTGTGTTACGCTGGCGGTAGGTGTACGGGCTGTCTGTGAGTGTTGTTACAGTGGTCGCGCCAGCGTGACAGACGCTCGTGTGGTGAGATTATTTAGATCTCAATTACGTATCAGGCCGCAGACGGAAGGTCTGGACAAGTTTCCCAATGTACTGTGCATCAGCCTGTATGATTCTGCTATGGCAGTGTACCCAAGGGATGGGTGTCATAGAGGTAGACACATAATAACGAGTAGTGAGTTTGCACGAGCAGGTAATGTTTGCTCGTAGTTGACCACGGGACAGGGTGGCAGTAGAAGTAGCCCAGAGCGTCCGTAGTGTGTGTTGCCTTGCCAGTAGGAATGACTGTTGCGGTGTAACGTTTTATTCTCGTGATGCCTTTCATTGTTTTGGTGTTGGAATTAGAAATACATTAATTCTGTTTTTTGACGTTCAACATGTATCCGGCGTCCTTTATTGCTGTTGGGCGGGAATGGTGACTTGTTACTGTAACACTATTCAGCATACCATGGATACTTAGCAAGTGTGCGGTGTATCAAGCGAACATTCGCACGCATCAGTCATTTGTAATCAATTTTAATTAAGGCATCAAAAGCAGGACACTATTATTATTCCCACCATTCTTCAAAGTGAATTTGTATTTCTGACCATGAAGGAGCACCATAAAGCTGGGGTATTATTGTTACTTTTATTATTCCCACCATGGATGTACCATCAAGGTGAGATATTATTCCCACCATTCTTCAAAGTGAATTTGTATTTCTGACCATGAAGAAGCATTGAAGAAGCATCATAAATCTATCACGGAATCAAGGCCGAAGCGTTGCAATATCCATAGTACGGAGCCAAAGGGTTTACAATTCATGGTTTCTGGATACTTAAAAAAATGTATGTCGGTGAAAGACCTTTCTTATGCCAGTTGTGTAATAGGCTTATGATACTAGACAGATTTTTGTAGATCAGTTAACACTTGACAGATTATGTGATCAGCATCATACCGGCTGCTTTTGCTTCCCATGACATTACCTGGTACCCATTTAATTTTGAGTAGACCTGAAAGCCGAGGTCATTTAAAAATTTTAAAAAATCTGTTCCTGTGTGGATTCGAACCCAGGACCTTTGGGCTGGCAGAGATACATCTAGCGACTACACCTCAGGGGTTCCCACTTATTTATGTGATTAACTATTTGCCTAGATCTTTCTGGAGGTGCTTCCTCCAGACAAGAGTCTGTTACTTTTATTATTCCTACCATCTTCAATGTGACATTGTTCAAGAGGATGTACCATCAAGCTGAGATATTAGTATTATTCCAACCATTCTTCAATGTGGATTTGTCATTTATGAGATATTATTATGTCTTATTATTATTATTATTATTTTGTTTTGAATTTGTTAGGAAACGGAACAAACTTTTAAGCTTTATTCTAAAATGTGGATATTCACTGCTCTTGTGACTGCAAAAACATGGTAAATGAAGATTCTTTGGGTAAAATTTTGTCTTTGTAAACATAACACTTGCTGAGGGTGTTTTTTCCTACTAATTATAACAGCATTAAACACAAATATATGATCAGATTCAAAATGAACATTCATTCCTCTTTACAAAACTATATACTTCTGTAAGGATTAGAAATATATAACATTCTCAATTGACTTTTTTTTTTCAACACCACCTCTCTGCCATTTTTGTAAAGGGAAATTAATGTGAGCCAAGTCTGTGAAAATTCATGGGCCTGAAAGAGTTAATAAAGCATTGTGAACAAAAAAAAAAAAAACCTGAACTTACGTTCTGATCACATCCTGCTTAATAGTTAGTCTCAGTTCATTGTCTTGGAAAAATTTGTTCCATGGGCTCTGAAATGTAATTGACAGAGGCACATTTAAAAAAAAAAAAAACAATAATAAGACTGTTGAGTGGAACCTGAAGATTGTGTCCATAATGTGACTGTACAATTTAAAAGGTTATATAAAGACTTCAAATTTACACGCAAGTTAAAATACATTAACACCACATAGAGCTTTAAATGTAGAAATGCTACCCACATTACCTCCTCATCTTGAGAAAGTGGGTTGTTCAGAGTTATGTCAACTGAGTCCACTGCCTTCCTTGGGTTAACAATCAGCTGCAAAAGTAAAATGTAACATTACAACTCAATTAAATCTGGCCTAAAAGTTAGTTTCAAAACCATACTGCAGGGAAAAAGACAAAGGCAAGACAGCAAGAGGTAGACAATGATACAAAAGGGAGGACAACATCAAGAGATGAATAAACAGCACTATGAGAGAGAGAGTACCACCAAGACAATAGTAGAAAGTGGTGGAGATCCATTGCAGCCAACCTTAATTGAAGGGACGGTCCCTGATTCGACTGATTGTAAAATAGGAGTTGCAAAGCTTCTACAGAAGTGATTTTCAACCTTTTTATACCCGGGGTCCATCAAAAACAGGGGAAATTGTTTTTCAGCCCATGAGCTGAAGAACACTCTTCAACAGGATAGTGCAAACCAACCCTAACATTTACATTCAGTAGTCTGCCACTGAAAATCTGGCCTAAAAAAAAGCAATGACTGCACAACAGTATCAGATTAGCCGGTTGTGATCTTCTAATGGAAGACTGGCTGCAATGAAGCTCCAGGATGTTATTGCTGGCTGCGTTATTAACTCTTTCAGTCCTAAACAGTTAATACTTTAACTCCTCCTTTTCCAAGCACTTGGTCTTAAAATCAATAAATATTCAATTCTGGAGGAGTTCAGCACAGCAAAGACATTTTCTGGGACAGAAGTAGTAAAACTAATAATTCAGATACAAAGGGTTAACATAAGAACTGTCTGTCCATTCATACCTCAGTTCTTCTTCTTCTGCCTTTCTATCCCCCAATGGAGCATAGGCCCTCAACCAACTCACACCAAGTTGTTCTATATTTTGCTATCGCATGCAACTCTCCCCATGTCCTCCCCAACTTTTTAACTTCATTCCCCAGCTCCCTTCTTCATGTGTTTTTTGTCCTTTCTTTATTCCTATGCCCCTGTGGGTTCCAGTGCAAAGACGTTCTAGTTATATTGTTCTCCGATTTTCTCAATGTGTGTCTTATCCAAAGCCAGCATCTTTCCTTCACCTCTTGGTCTACTGGAGCTTGCTTAGTTCTCTCCCAACGCACTACATTAGTCATTTTATACCTCAGTTAGCATTATAATAATACACATCCTCAATACCAAATCTATCCCAACTGCTGGAATATGTTCTAATTACACCTGCATTTCTAAAAAGTAATCACACTCAGAACAGTTAAAAAGTTAGTTGCATATCCTTTACAGGACGTTGCAGAACCAACCCTAACAGCCCCTGGCTGTTGTGTGGTTTCTCTAGGCAATTTACATCCAGTAGTTTGCCATTGCTTTCTGGACGTTCGGCTTTCTTGATACCACTGTGGAAACCAACGCAAGGCGCATTGCCCGCAGCTGGGATCGAACCTGGCATCCCGGCATTACGAAGCGAAGCGTTCGCATCGACTTAGCCACAGAGCCGACCATCAGAACAGTAAGTGCAATAAATCTAGGGGGGGGGGGGAACACAATATGTCTCAGGAATGCTGACTGTCTTTTCAGACGCAGGTTATCAGTTCTCTTAGTAAATGTTTTTTTGTGTGTGTGGAGACATCTTTATTTTTTGCTTTTATTTGCACGTGGTGTATTTATCATTCTTCAATAAAGTCACAACTCTGCAGCTTCCATATAATTTCTCTCATAGATATATTTTTCTTAATTCTGTTAATCTTGTTCAGTTGTCACATTAACCTGTTATATTCTAACTGTCCTTTTAACTCATCCGGTACCAGACAACAGTTGAATTAACTAGAAATCAACTCATGTTCATTCCTTGAGACATAAAGAGTTAACACCTCTATCACATATGGGTACTGTTTTCATCCTTAAATGAGGAAAAACTGTATAGTAGAGGAAAACAGATGAAGGAAGAGGAGAGGAGAAGAAAAGCTACAACTCAGTGAGATCCAACAAGAGACTCACAAACTCTCTTAGCTCCTCATAATTATTCCTGTTTTGCCGTGTTCTGTCAATCCACTGACTCTTGTCTGAAGGAAGCACCTCCAAAAAGATCTAACCAAACAACAGAAAATAGTTAATCACATAAATAAGTGGGGTCTACTCAGAATTAAATGGGTACCAGGTAATGTCCTGGGAAGCAAAAGCAGCCTGTATGATGCTGATCACATCACCTGTCAAGTGCTAACTGGTCTACAAAAGTATGAGTCTAGCATCATAAGCCTTTTACACAACTGGCGTAAGAAAGGTCTTTCACTGACATACATTTTTTTTAAACCAGAAACCATGAGATGTAAACTCTTTCGCTCAGTACTATGGATACTGTAATCCTTCTGCCTTGATTCCATGATAGATATCATAAATTTGGGAGAAATGTGGCTTTTCTGCCTACCCCTAAGCGTGAACCTGGACCACAAGGAGTTCGTCACCCGGTCGCCACGCAGAGGGTTTTAACCAACTGCGCTAGCAAGCCGGGCCACAGTGGATGCCGCAATAGCATTTTCTCGTCTGCCAGCCATAAAGTCTTGAGTTGGAATCTGCAGTGTGTGGATCTGGGTTGGGGGAGGGGGAAGTGGGGGGAATGGCCTTGGCTTCCAGGTCGACCCGGCCTAAAATAGAACTGCATTTCCTTTACCGAACGTTGCTTTCTTCACGGCAAGCCTGAAAGTCTCTTTCTCAGGCCAATATTCCAGCCCTATGTGCTTTCACAGCCAATGCATAATCAGTGTCTTGTATCACGAAGATCTGCCTCTGTTTTATTTTCTAGAAAGTGCACCCTCCATCACCATTCTCTCCAATCCACCATCACACCTAAAGTTAGTTGTGTATCCTTTACAGGACGTTGCAGAACCAACCCTAACAGCCCCTGGCTGTTGTGTGGTTTCTCTAGGCAAATTTACGTCCAGTAGTTCCATCACACCTAACACAGCCAAAATACCTTTTTTTTAAGAAAGGTTTATGTTTATGAGCCAATTCTCCTCGATGCTAAAATCATGTAGGATGTTGGTGATTCTCTTCTTCTTGGTGTTTGGTATTCTAAGAATTTTTCTGTAACAGTTCAGTCCAGAAGCTTTGATTTTTTCTTCACAGACTAAGAGTTTATGATCCACATGCATAAATTGCCACAGGAGAGATGCATATTCTAAAATTTTTTACTCTAACTTGCTTGCAAGTGTTGTGCCATAGATTCTTTACGCTGTTTAGTCTCTATACTGCTAAAGGGAGTCTTTTCCTTACTTCCTATACTTTTCTTTTGCATACATAAGTTTGAGATTGCACAATAACTAAGCTCCTTAGTTACACAAAACTGTCTGCTCTCTGAGCCAGCTTGGTATGTTCTCAGGAAAGAGAGGCTTCTAAAGTAACTAAGCAGTGCATAAAAATAACATGCAGGTAATGGTAATCCTGTCCGAAGATCTTGGGTTCAAATCCCCAAGTTAGATTTTTTTTAAATGACCATGGCTTCCAGGTTGACCTCGTCTAAAATGGGTATCAGGGAAAAGTCCTGGGAAGTAAAGGTGGATGGCACATGATATTGACCACATGAGCCACCAAGGGCGGATTGGTTTATATAAATAGAAGCCTAGCTTCATATGCCCTATGCACAACTGGTATGCCGGCGTGGTGCTGACCATATCTCCCATCTTGTGCCGATTGGTCTATAAACTTTAAGTCTAGCACAATATTTCTAAAGGCGTGGAAAAGGGTCCTCTACTGTTTTTTTTTTACAACTGGTATGATGAGGGTCCTTTCTTACTTACGTACTAATGGTAATCCTAAGCAGATGACGCAACAGAGTGACGGTTAACCTTCATTTAATCAGTCAGGTGCTGTCTCTTCAGTGATGGCTGGCTGCTATGGATCTACAACTCTCCCCGCCCCCTCTCTCTCTATCTCTTTCTCTCTCTTTATCTCTTTCTCTCTATCTCTTTCTCTCTCTCTCTCTATCTCTTTCTCTCTCCCTCACATCTGTGTGTGTGGTTTCATGTGTGTCTTTGTGCGTGTGTGTCTGTGTGTGTGTGTGTCAGTGTGTGTGTGTATGTGTTTGTGTGTGTGTGTCTGTGTATGTGTCTGTGTATGTGTCTGTATGTGTGTCTATGTGTGTCTGTGTGTGTGGCTTCGTGTGTATCTGCGTGTGTATGTTTGTGTATGTGTGTGTCTGTGTGTGAGTGTCGGTGTGTGTGACTGTGTGCGACTTCTCTCTTGGTCTCCCTTTGCCACTCTTCCCCTCTAACTTTCCTGCCCCACGATTTACTCCTACTTTCCTCTTTTTATGATGTAACCAAATAGTACAGACCAGAAAATTACTTCTAACATACAAAACATCTTAATATACAGATTCCTACCTTCCAGGCAATACTTCGGAACCTACAGCTGCGTAAGTTACCTGCCACAGCTCTTTCCTTTAACGATGGCAACATGTTTGGCTTGTTGAATAGATTCTCCCATTCTAAACTGCAAACAACAATTATTTGGCTCAAAATAACAGCATTTCACAGATTTATTACAATTTTAACTCATTTCCTGCCACAAGGTCATGCCTAATAGGGGACATAACAAGAACATAAAAATCACGAGTTATGTTCTCAATCTCTTTGGGGCATACTGGACGTACAGTGTTGGCTCCGTGTTTCTCACAATCTACAACACTTCAACCATATTAATGCCGCAATAGTTCAGACAGAACAGTAATTGATGGTATGGTTTCTGGAAGAAGCAGGGGACACCCTGACTGTTAAATTTCATGAGACAGGGCAGTCAGTAAGGTCCCAAGTGGCTTTCTGGCATGCCTTGAAGAGAGAGAGATCCTGCAAAGGACCTACTAGATGATGAATTGGCACACAATGGGTGTTGTTAACATCTTCCTGGCCACCTTTACTTTTATGATACAAATCTGTGGCTGCAAACATATTAAACCAAATGAAAAGTAGGACCAGTCAGCTTCATAATGTCACAAACACAAATGATACGTGGATGTTGTGGCTAAAGAGCCTTCATCAGTACATTAAATACACATAAAATCTTTCCCCCCCCCCTTCCCAAAAAAAAGAAAGAAAGCATGAAAATCACCTAACTAATATATCTCTGAGAGAACTCCACATATATGACCACTGCAAATAACTATGAGCCAGAAAAAGCTGTGAACAGCAAGGGTCGTAACTTAAAAATATTAGACAAAGTGTCAAGTCCCCTAAGTGAAGTGGAGGCCTATTTAGATAGATAAGAATTTTGGCTGGGTTAACTGAGCAGGCCCGGTTAATTATAAAAATCTGCCTCAATACAGATTTGAAGCCAAGACGTTTGGACCAGCAGATAAGTGCCTACCCACTGTACCACTGCAGCCCCATTCAATACAAGATTTCTTACAAATAATTTTAACATAAGAACTAGAAATTTACCTATAGGAATGTGACAAGCTGGTCGGTAGTGATACAGGATCATTATTAACAGCCTCCACTCTTCCTGGAAACTTGGGGAAGTGGTACGAAATCTTGTCATCTGTTGGACGTAGAGGTCACAGATCACCACAAATGTTAACAAGGCCAATAATATCAAAAACGCAAGTGATAAGTTAAAACAAAACATTTGACTCCGTGATTTCAAAGCTTGAGTGCATCTGCCAACTGACAAGGAAACAACTGAGTGCACATAAAGTAGCCAGATCTATTAAATGGACGTACATACAAAAGTCTAGTCCTGTAACAAGTACAAAGTTAAGAAATAGACGAGCCCGGCTCTCTAGCGTAGTTGGCTAAACCGGATTGCGCGGTGACCGGGTGACAAACTTTGTGTGGTTCGGGTTCACTCCCAGGGGTAGGCAGAAAAGCCACATTTCTCCCAGATTTACAGTATTTACAATGGAATCAAGGCGGAAAGGTTGTGATATCCATAATACCGAGCCTAAGGGTTAACAACTCATGGCTTCTGGATACTAAAACAAACAAACAAACAAACAAGAAATAGACAAACATCCAGGACTTTCCATTGAAATTCAGGTGTTTACCTCTTTGCCTTCCTCTTGCTTGCTTTCCAGTTGTTACCAAGTTCTTGGTTCTATTCCTTCTTACAATATGTTTAAAAAAATACTGACTGCCTACAACTAATTGTTTTTTTTTAAGTTTCCGACTTTCATTTGTCTCGAAGACGCCTGCTTCATTGGTTTTTCTATCTTTCAATAAAATTCTTTGCATTCTTCTCAGAAACAACATCTGTCATAGCAGAAGAAATAAATCATCAATTCTTCTATTATTGTTATTATTGGGAAAGACTGAGCACTTGTGGACTTGCCATCACAGCAGCTACACTGATTCATTGTAATCTTATCTAAGTACTTGCCTCCTGCGGCAGGACTGCCGACTTCAACAGGATCTGTAGTTTCAACTCTGTTTGTTGTCTCCACATTCTTTCTCCCTTTGGAAGGTTTCAGTTTAGCAAACATATCCATGCTCAGTTCCTCTGAAAAACAGAAAAAGTTATGCTTAACCACCTGAGCGTAATGGGAGATTTGGTAGTTAACCACCTGAGTGTAATGGGAGATCTGGTAGTTAACCACCTGAGTGTAATGGGAGATCTGGTAGTTAACCACCTGAGCATAATGGGAGATCTGGTAGTTAACCACCTGAGTGTAATGGGAGATCTGGCAGTTAACCATCTGAGTGTAATGGAAGATCTGCTAGTTAACCACCTGAGTGTAATGGGAGATCTGGCAGTTAACCACTTGAGTGTAATAAGAGATCTGGTAGTTAACCACCTGAGTGTAATGGGAGATCTGGTAGTTAATCACCTGAGTGTGATGGGAGATCTGGTAGTTAACCACCTGAGTGTAATAAGAGATCTGGCAGTTAACCACTTGAATGTAATTGGGGATCTGGTAGTTAACAGCCTGAGTTGAATGGGAGATCTGACAGTTAACCACCTGAGTTGAATGGAAGATCTGGTAGTTAACCACCTGATTGTAATGGGAGATTTGGTAGTTAACCTCCTAAGTCTAACGGCTTCTCAACAAACAAACAAACAAACACCTCAGGGCTTAGTAGAGTGAACGAGAAAAAGTGGCAGACCATGAAAGACTTGAATACAGAACTTGACTGACTTGACAGGCCTGAGGCATGCAGCCATAAAGTCCATTGTATCTGACCGTCAAAGGTGGAGGGAGCTGATCAGATGGTCGACAGCTACTGGCCAACCAATGACACACAGTGTTAAGGGGCGACGATGAAGGTGAACTGTCCTCTAGTACAGAAAAAAAAAATGAAAGGCGTAATTTCTTTCTAAGACAGGACTCGGCGAAATATGATGGTGGACAACAAACATCAATGCAGCCCCAGCTATGAAATGCGTGAAACGGTGAGAGTGGCGAATAAATTTTTGGCGGGATGGGATAGAGCGAGGTCTTGCAAAGGAATTGCTACATGATGAAGATAAAAGACGCAACGTTGCATCAGCGCCCACACACGCGTTACCCTGTTACTTCATAACTGATTCCCTTGGGCCAGCTATAATCTAGATCAGCGGTTCTCAACCTGTGGGTCGCAACCCTTCTCGGGGTCTTAACGACCATTTCACTGGGGTCGCCTAAGGGTAAACGCGTATTAACTGAAGTTATGAAGTGGCAACGAAAATAATTGGTCATCACAACATGAGGAACTGTATTAAAGGTTGGGAAGCACTGTGCTAGATGATTCCACTATATACGTTGATTCTTGTTATTGTTGTTCGTGATCTACAGATAGAGCCGGCAGTGTTTTTGTTCATCTCTACTCCATAGGCGACGAAACCTTGGGGCTCCCTCCCTCAATTGTATGGATGTGTGTGGGGTGTTTTTTTTTCCTGAAAAAAATGGGGGAGGAGGGTGTCTCAATTATTTGTAGGGAGCAGCGCCCAAAAACCCTTATCATGTGCAGACGTTATCTTTTTAATCATATGTTTATATATTTCAAAAACTACAAATATTTATTTGCAATTCAGAACATTTTCATTATTATTATTGCGCATTTTAACAGGATAAAGCCCCTTAACGCCCTATTTCCCGTAAATGTATAGATGCTGAAATGAACAGTAAAAAGTTTTTTTAAAATTATTATTGCGCAATTAAACAAGGCTTGATGTCTGGTCCGCACTGGGGGGAAATGACGGGAGGGTCTCACTGCCCCCTCCCAATGTTCTTCTCGGTCGTGGCCTGCCTGTTCTACTTCTTTGTTAAGTGAGCGCCCGGATAAGCAAATATGATGAAGAGGGGAGGGAGAGAGATAGAGAGACAAGAGAGACAGAGAGAGAGACGAAAGCTTTCAAAACTAGAGTGCCATGTTGTGTAATGGCATTTCCTCTTGTTACACGAGGTTGGGAAATGACTAACGATTTTGTTGAATCTCGTCTTTTTTTTTTTACCGAGACATGCGCTTTACAGTTATGTTTTGTCTGAGTTATGAGTTAGATTATCTTCACAGCACTCCGGACACACCCATAGGCGCTCAGATTCCCCTCTCAACATATTCATCAGCGTCGTGCGGTTAATAGTACCAGTCCTATGTTGATTAACAAGACTTCGTGTGCGTCCAATGTGCTAATGCTTTGGCTGTGCCGATCTTTACTCCCAATTCTCGTATTCTTAGCAGTGATGTGGACACGTTGCTTCCAAAATCCTCAGAACGTCCTATCTCTCTAAGGGCAATGACAATGTCTGCGCGATTAATGGGCCAGCCATCTTCAATTAATGAAGTGCCTGCCAGTCTATCAGCGCTCTCATTACCAACAACGCCTGCATAACCTGGGACGAATATGATAAGAAACTGTCCGCTCGCGTTTCTGTCAGCATTTAGCTCCGTGGCTACAGCGACGTTCCTCCATTTATCCAGTGTTAACTCTGGTACCCATTTCCTAGATGCTGGGTGAACCCAGGAAACAGTCCGGTTTCGAACACCGGCCGTGGGCTGCAGCGAGTCGCAGCTGGGTTTGAAAGCGAGTCTCCTATCGACTGCATTAATGCGGCTCCCAATGTTCTGTAAAGGATGCGCAATTAACTAACATTTCTACAATGGGGACTAGAAATAATTAAGGTCTCATTTAGATATCACGGAGTTACAAAATATATTTGAGATTTAGTTGTTTCTGCTTCTCAGTTTTCTAGGTCATCTTGTTTAATCTCATTATTTATTACTATACTTTTTCAAAAGTCCTGTAGTGAAGTTAGCGGCTAGACGCTCGCTTGCGGAAGGTCGTGGGTTCGGTTCCTGAGAGGGGCCGGACTTTAAAAAAAAAAAAAGACCTTGGCTCCCAGGTCAACTCTGCATTGAGTAGGTACCAGGTACAGTGCTGGGAAGTAAAGGTGGCCGGCCAAGTGTCGTTTGGTCTATAAAATACAGGTCTAGTCCTATATATCCAATATGCCTGAGGGCGTAAAGAAGGGCCCTTTACTTTACAGTAATGTAAGTAAAATTAGAGCACATTTCAGCATTTGTTATTAAGACGTAAATGCTGTAAACATTTTCTTATTAAATTATTATGAACTATGAAATGATGTCAGAGTCCGCAAGTCTCTTGAGAAACGCTTTATTTATACTCTGGGGACTTTAACACCCTCCGGACTGAATTGCCAACACAGTTTTATTTAAACTCCTAGGGGATTGAGCTGCCCTCAAAGTTTTATCTCCAACCCCCGAGTTATGGCCCCTGGTACTCTACAGGGAGTATTTATTCCCCCCAGCCGACACGTGTAGTCATTATATCAGGTGTGACTACACACCACAAATAAAAGGAAACCATATAAGACAGCTAAGGACCCTTCTTCGATATAGCAGGCCTCCGGGCGGCTGAAAGAGGATCAAATTTTGAATTTTTCTTGGACAACTGGCATTGGCATTGGCACGTGTAGTCATTCTGCTGAGAAACAACCAACCCGACTGCTTCGAGATACCAGCTAAGTGATTTTGTGTTTCTGTGTAGTATTGTTTCATATATATGTGCTGATGGAAGCTCAATAGCCGCAGAGTTCACGCTTTGTTTGTATTTGTTATATTGTGAAGCTTGCTTATATACTTTTCGTTCGGTTTTATATCTTTTCACGAATAAATAAATGAATGCAAGGTGTGGACTGGAAGGGCAGAATGTTAGACGGGCCTGCGTCCCCAATTCTTAGCCTTAAAAAATAGTTTGTTGTTTCATTCGTTATTGTTATTATTCTGTTTATTTTTTTTTTTTCATATTTTTTTTTTAAATTGTTATTCCTCCACAGGGGACAGTGATGATTTCCGAATCCAATTCCCTTTAAGGAAAAAATCAAAAACTCAACCACGTTCAACCTTCTGCTAACTAGCCGAAACTGCCAACAGTCTCCGGCTATGTTTGTGGCCATGTTTATTTGCGCCATTTTCGTGGCTGAAGTTCTGGTATTTGCGCCGTCTCTGGGCTAAATGCTTCTTCCCTCAAAGTCAGACCACTCATTCCCTATCCTGTTGTCAACTTTGTTCTTCTTCTTGCCCTTTCATTTCTGATGTTTCCTCCTTGGTTTCCGCTCCTTCTGATTTGGCCTGGCGTATTTCGTAGCCAAGCGAGCTTCTCACGTTCTATTTGGCTTTCCGAGGCATTGTGACGGAGCAGCTATGGGAGGTGGGGGGGGGGGGGTGCTTTCACGTGAAGCTGGAACTAAGATTAACTGATTCCTTGTATCTTATCAGGGGGATGCCGACACAGAGAAAACGCTTAGGCCTCAGCCCCCTAAAAAAAAATTTTAAGACAGGCAGTGTACTCCAGGGACATATGCCTTATTTAAGTGCTTAATATTAATAATAAAAGTAAAGGACCCTTTTCCACGACTTGGGGCGTATTGGGCATATAGGGCTGGACCTATATTTTATAGATCAATCAGCACTTGGTGTGTGATGTAGTCAACATCACGGTGGCCGCATTTACTTCCCAGGACTGCCCCCAGGTACCCACACAAGGCTAGGTCGACCTGGGAGCCAAGGTCATTTATGAAAAATGCCCGGTTTCTCTAGGACCCGAACCCACGACTTTCCGATCCGCATGCAAGCGTCTAGCTGCTACACCACGACGACTCACAATAATAATGGCCAATTAATATAACAATAAATTTGAAATAAAAATTATGTACAAACACAAACTTTAAAAGAGAATTTTTATACAATTTCTATTCACGGTTAGGGATTGTGGGTGGGAGAGAGAGAGAGATAGAGAGAGAGAGAGAGAGAGAGAGAGAGAGAGAGAGAGAGAGAGAGAGAGAAAGCTCCCCGACAGAGAGAGAGAGAGAGAGAGAGAGAGAGAGAGAAAGCTCCCCGACAAAGAGAGAGAGAGAGAGAGAGAGAGAGAGAAAGCTCCCCGACAAACAGAGGGATAGAGAGAATGCTCCCCGACAGAGAGAGAGAGAGAGAGAGAGAGAGAGATAAAGCTCCCCGACAGACAGACAAAGAAAGAGAGAGAGAGAAAGCT